CGCGGACACGGAAGCGGCAGTGCCCATCACTCACCTGCTCCTTCAGCTCATCCGCTTTCTCTTGGAGCAGCATTTCCATATTCTTCAGAATCAACTCCGCCTCTTCTGCTCGCTCTTCTGTGGCTTTCAGCTGTTTCTCATGTTCTTCCTGCCATAAAAGAAGGTTACAGGCAGCCAGGCAGGGTGGCTCACACCTGTAATTCTGGCACTTTGGGAGGCCAAGGTGGGCGGATCACAAGGTCAGGAGATCGAGATAATCCTGGCCAACATGATGAAACCCCATGTCTACTACAAACACAAAAATTAGCCGGGCATGGTGGCAGGCGCCTGTAGTTCCAGCTACTCGGGAGGCTGAGGCAGGAGAATCACTTGAACCCAGAGGCGAAGGTTGAAGTAAACCGAGATTGTGCCGCTGCACTCCAGCCTGGCAACAGAGTGAGACTCCGTCTCAAAAAAAACAAAGAGGCCAGCGCAGTGGCTCACATCTGTAATCCTAGCACTCTGGGAGGCCGAGGCAGGCAGACTGCCTGAGCTCAGGAGTCTGAGACCAGCTGAGGCAACACACTGAAACACCATCTCTACTAAAATACAAAAAATTAGCCAGGTGTGGTGGTAGGTACCTGTAATCCCAGCTATTCAGGAGGCTGAGGCAGGAGAATCATGTGAACCCAGGAGGTGGAGGTTGCAGTGAGCCGAGACTGCACCACTGCACTCCAACCTGGGTGAGAGTGAGACTCTGTCTCAAAAATAAATAAATAAAATGGAAATCAGCGCAAATGTGCACATCTGGCGTGCCTGTGGTAACTCTGCATCCGTACAGAGCAACAGTTGTCAAACGTTCTGGCCAAACCACGCAGCTTGCCTTTCCCTTTGTAGTTCAGCGAGAATCAGCAGACCCATTTGTCCTCAGAGAACTGGTCCTAGGATTTTAACCACAAATAACTTCAAAGTGAGCTTCCCTTGCCATGTCAGTGTCTTTTCCTGGGGGATTCTCATTAACTTTGTTTTGTCAATAATGTAGTGTCACTTAGCTTTAGCTTGACCGCTTTGTGTAATGTTGCAAGGTTGTTCTTCATTAGAATTTACACTTTACAAACATCAGATGTTACCCACTTCTCAGGTCGTGTGCTAATTCCTTCTTCTGCCCTCTGGCTCCTGATCCCCCCTGAAGTCGTCCCTGATGAATCAGGAACTATGTTGGGAATTTCAGGAGTCAGTCACACTCTCAGCCTTTTGAATTAAACTCTTGCATAGGGCACGGCTATGCCAGGACCCTTCAAGTGCTTTAAAAGTGACAACTCACTGACGCCTCTCAATAAGCCTTTTAGGGACCACCACAGCTAGCAGGACTTTACAGATGAGAAGACTGAGGCACAGAGAGGTTCACTTGCCCAAGGTCACTCAGCTGGGAGGAGGTAGGCAGGATCCTAGCCTCCACAGTCCATGCTCCAAGCCACTGTCTCCCGTCTCCCGCCACCTGCATGGCCTGTGGCACCTGCCAGGCCCAGTCTGTCTGCCCTCGGCCTCTGGTCCCTGATCCCCTGGAACACGCCAAGTATCCCCTGTCCCGGGGCCTCTGCACCTGCCGCTTCCCTGCTGCACTCTGCCCAGTGACCTGGCACCACTCCCTCACCTCCTTTAGGTCTCATGACCTCAGGGGCCACCCTGTTTAGAACCGTGCTGACCCTCTCTTTACAGCCTTCCTCATCACCTGACATGCTATGTACGTGACTCAGGTATTGACACTTGGGCAGCTTCTGGGTAACTTGAGGACCAGTGGGCCCGCCTCACCCTCCTCCTCGTCAGCCAGCTCTCGCCAGATCCCCACTCACCCGCTGCGCATCCAGGCGTCTCCCGGCCCGCTCTCCCTGGAGACGGAGCAGGCGCTGCAGCTCAGCCACGTGGTCCCGGGGCACCAGCTGACCCATCTGCTCCTGCAGCTGCCGGACCTCCTGCCAGTGCTGGGCCTGGGCCTGCCTCAGCCTCAGGTGAGCTCCCTGCACCTGCACGGGAGGAGACACAGCTCTAGTGAGGCTGCTGAGACGTGGCACAGTGGTAGGGTGCCCTCTCCATCCAAGGACACCCCTACCCGCAAGGGGAAGGAAGGCATGTGCTCCTGAGTATGTGGCAGCACCTGGGAATTTAGAAGGAGCCCATTTCTTTGGAGTTTGGACAGCCAGGCTGCTGTCAGCCAGCACTTCCACACGGTGCTAGAGTGCAGAAAACGTGTCCACCATCCTGAAAACAGCGACACTGACTTCCTGTAAGACCCACAGACCCACTGCTGCATCCAGTGTTAGCTTTCAGCAAACCTTGCTGGGGACTGATTCTTTTCAAACAGTGACCCACACCAGTTCTCCTTTCAGCGGAGAGCTCACACTCTGAAACACGGCTACACCAGCCACAGACTCTACCCAGACAACAGGGACCACTAAAGGGAAGGTGGGGCCAGGGCTGGCATTCCTGGCAGCACCTGGTTTCCCAGACAGCTGGAGTTGGGCGAAGTCATTACAGTGATCTGTGCACCACTACACCAGCCCCTTCATTAAGCAGCTCGAGGCAAGATCCAAATACAATTTACATCCAGCTGACTGGAGGCTTCACTGGGATTTCCTCAGCACCTTATAAAACTGGCCACGCCACCTTACTCACCTGAGATCCCACAGACAGGAGTGGGAGTCACGTTCCATCCGGGGTCACATTTGGGCCGGGCCTGACATCACCACATGGTGGAGAGAGGGGGAAGGCCCTGCCCTGTGCCCACATTGCCAGGCCCAGCTTCCCTTCAGCAGTCCCTGCACTGACTCAGCTGAGCTGGGGGCCATCTCAGGGGGCCAGGTAAAGCCCACCTTTCTTTAAGGCAGGGGTCACCCCAGAAAGATGCATCCCACATTTTCCAGGCCCTGGACGGCAGCTCATGGGTTGCGATAGAAAGGAACACCTCCACCCAGTGCTGCCTTCTCCCAAAGGCTCATTCAGACACTCTGGCTGCCACCCCCAGTCCTGCTGGATTCCCAGGCATTAAGCACATCTACTCACCCTAGAAGGCTCTGGCCCTGTGCCCCAGCTCCCTGGGCTCTGATGCTCACGGGTCCTCAGACTGCACCACCCCCCACAGAGCCAACTAAGCCCCTCCATAGTAAGGCCAGGGTCCAGCCCAAGGGGGGGTCTCTGCCTATGGTCATCTATGAACAGATAGATGTCCAGTGCTCTTCATCTCCTTCCTCGGCAACGCGAGATGGGCCACATCTATAGACCTTGCCTGACAGTCACAGGGACAGGGAAAGACGTCCCCAGGGGAGCACCAGAAACAAGGACATTTGTGTTCTGGGTGCTGGGGTGAGGCAGAGCCTTAGATGGGGCATCATCTCCCACCCTGAGTGCAGCCACCCTTCCCACCTTCCTGTGGAGGGGGCCCTGTGAGTCCCCATCCCTCCACTTTCTGAGCTCTCCTGTGAGGTGCCATCCCTCCTGTCTGCTCTGGCCTCTGGGGCCTTCCTCCTTTGAGCCACACACAGGCATGACAGTGACTGCCTTGGGTTCCCTCCCACAGGGAAACGGTGACCACATCAGCTTCAGGCCTAGCCTCTTGGGGCCACTCTCAGGGAGCCCCATCTGCCTTTTCCAGAGTTTCCTGAGCTACGCTGGAAGCCTCCACCTTCCTGATACTGGCAGCCATGTGCTTTGGTGGGGGGTGTCTTCCTCTAAATCAAGAGGAAAAGGGGTACAATCCATAAGGCTGCAGGACAGACTCAGTGAGGTGCTTTCCGACTGACAGAGGCTGGTGGCAGGCATGGCCCCAGGGGTGTGAAACTCCCTTGCCTTTTCAGGTGAGTCTTACTCCTCAGCCTCAAAGGACTCGAATGTTGAATGGCCCAGGCAATTTTCCAGTGTTCCTTTCAGACTCAAAAGCAGAGAAGGGTGTCCCAAATACACAGCAGTGCCTCTAGGAAACTGACTGCCTGTAGCTGCAAGGCCAAGAGCGTACAGGAGCCCCAAAAGCGCCTCAGAAAGCCCTGGGGTCCGTGCCCAGCTGACCCCTCTGTGCCTCAGGATGTCTAGGGGGTGCTTCTGCACAGGGCGCCAGGGCCAGCACTGGGGGACTCAGCCAAGCCTCACAGGCAAGCGGGGAGAGACCCTTTCCCATAGCCCCCTTTCCTCTCCATAGCCCCCAAGCTTCCAAGTGTGCCCTGCACCTGTGTCCACACTGGGCACTCGCTCTCCAGGTACCTTTGGCCATCACACATCTGCTCTTCCCCTCCCCCTTGAGCCATCCCCTCCACAATCATCCCTTGAAAGAGCCAGCTCCCCTCCCTGAGGCCCCTGCTCAGCTCCCCGTGAGCATGCCTGTCTGTCCCAGACCACGAGCCCCTGCCACCACAGCCCAGGCTCCTGTGCCTGCACCTTCCCCGCCTCTCACCCGTGGAGCCAGCAGGTGTGGCACCTGGAGGCTGCGGAAGAGGCCAGTGTCACGCATGCCCGTGAGTTTACATGTCACCCCGCCCCCAGGGTTGGGGCCGGCTGCCTTGGCTCTGATGACACAGTTCCTGGGCTTGCCTCTGGCTTCTCCATTCTGTAGAGGGCTCACCCAAAGTCATGGTGACCACATTCCTTCCCTTGAGAGTAAACTGAGTCACCACTCTCCATGGAGCTTGCTCAGTCAAACCAGCCCTGCACTGGGAGCAGCTTTGGTCCTGGGCCCGGTAAGCACCTGGCCAGCTTAACCACCTGACTGGGCTGGAGGAAGCCTGGTGTCAGCACTGCAGTGAGGCTGCCCCCGGGTAGGCGTGGACCCAGTGCCTCCAGCCATCACTCGCACCCACCTGGCCTTGACTTTCCTCAAGGGTCTGCGTCAGCTCGGCCTGTGACAGTCGCATGCTCTGACATTCCTGATTCAGGCGTTCAAGTTCAACTTCAAGTTTTTGGATTTGGTCACTCTATTTTAAAAAAAATCAATTGCAAAAGTCAAGAAGTATCTTAGCAGTCTGGCACATAATTTGTGCAGAAACTTCAGAAATTACGGAAAAGAAAAAAACGACAAAATTTAAATCCCCATGAACCCACCAGCCAAGGCCAGGCCCGCATCCTGCAGTGGCTCCCGGGCCCCTCCTCTGCACATATGCATCTCCCTGGTGAGACGGGTGCACCAACACACTGCAGAAAGCGTCTCCTCCTCACCACAGCAGGAGCATTTCCCAGGGCATTAATTATGATTTGAAAACATGGTTTTCAATGGCTGTGCTGTGATCCAGACTCCCTCAGCTCCTGCCGGTGACTCGGCCGATTTCTGTTCTGCTTTGCTATTATAAACAGCACAGCAAGGAAAATGCTGCAGCTGAATCTTTCCACAAGGCTCTCAGAAACATCCCCGTCGGAACCACGAAGTCAAAGCGTGTGGACTTTCTTCAACCTCTAAGTGTATATTTTGCCAAACTGCCCTCTGGGAACTTTGCACCAATTCATTCCTCTGTCAGCAGCATGTAAAGCTATTCTATTTTTTTCTTTTTGAAACAGAGTCTTGCTCTGTTGCCCAGGCTGGAGTGCCGTGGTAAGATATTGGCTCACTGCAACCTCTGCCTCCTGGTTTAAGCGATTCTCCTGCCTCAGCCTCACACCTAGCTGTGATTATAGGTGCCTGCTACCACGCCCAGCTAATTTTTTGTATTTTTAGTACAGACAGGGTTTCAGCATGTTGGCCAGGCTAGTCTCGAATCCCTGACCTCGTGATCCACCCGCCTCGGCCTCCTAAGGTGCTGGGATTACAAGTGTGAGCCACCACGCTTGGCCTCTGCTATTTTCTTTATATACTGGAATTTGCCAACACAGCTCAGTCCCCCTACTTCCCCAGGGCATGCTTGGGAAGTCCCTCACTCTGCTGCTGGGTGGCACCTCCCTTCAGGGTCCTCAGGGTGTGTCCTGACCTGTGTGCAGCCGCCTCCCCACCCTGCAGCTCCTAGCCTCCCGTGGAGCCTGGGTGGAGCCACCTGCTGCTGGGGCCGCCCACCTGCTGCTGCCAGCTGCATGCCACCTCCTCCAGGCTCTGTGTTAACAGCTGAATGGTCACACGATGCTCCTCGTTTTGGGTCTGGTGGGCAGAAGCCTCCTGTCCCAGGCGAAGAACCCTGTCATTAAGCTGGGATAACTGATCCTTGTAGTTCTGATTCTAGAGAAAAAATTTTTTTAATTTTTACTATATATATGTATTTTCCCATCATTGGCTATCTTTTGATTAAGTAGTTTTTTGTTTTGTTTTTCAAGACAGGCTCTCGCTCTGTTGCCCAGGCTGCAGTGCAGTGGCACATTCGTGGTTCACGGCAGCCTTGACCTGCTGGGCTCCAGTGATCCTCCTGCCTCAGCCTCCCAAGTAGCTGGGACCACAGGCATGGGCCACCATGCCCACATAGTTTTTTTGTTGTTGTTGTTTTGGTTTTTTAGTAGAGACAGGGTCTCTCTGTGTTGCCCAGGCTGGTCTTGAACTCCTAGCCTCAAGGGAACATCCCACCTCAGCCTTCCAAAGAGCCAGGATTACAGGGGTGAGCCACTGAGCCCATCCCCGCCTTGCCCCCGTAAAATACTTTTAAGCCAGCAGCTCAATTCATATCATTGTAATTGCTCTCAACCAGGTACAGCTTTGCTCCTGAGGAAATGTCTGGCCATGTCTCCAGGTGTTTTTGGTGATCACAGCTGGAGACACGGGAAGCTGCTGGCACCAACTGCATGGGGGCACTTGACACACTACAATGCAGGTGATCTGGACCCAAACATCATCACTGCCGAGGACAGGAAGCCCCGCTCCAGCCCCTGGGAGAAACACACACATCTAGGCCACCAGAGGGGAGAATATGCCATTAGCGTCCAAACCACTGTTCAGAAGACCCTTCATGTTTTTCTCATTTCCTCCACGATTATTTTAATATATTTAAAAATAGATAGCAATTTTAATGAAAAAAGCAACCTATTTAAGCTTGAGGTATATTAATCTCTTCCAAGTCTCCTCTGATCTCCGTCATCGAACACACAAGTGTAGCTCTCGGCAGGGCACGTGGGTTTATCAAATTGTATATTTTGCTTTCTCTCAATAGCACCCCCCACAGATAGTGGATTTCAGCAAATGTTCACTGGGTGAACCCATGAGGGCACCGTGCAGGGCAACAGTGGCGGGAAAGTAACCACGTGGTCTGCAGCATGGAGGCTCTGCTGTCCACAGTCACTGGTCAGGACATCTTCATGCAACCACATTTCTGCTTACTTGCCTTTACCCGCTGCTGCTCTTGGGGGTTTGGAGCGACGTCCTCTGACCCACTCTCAGCACAATCAGCCACACACATGCCACCTTCCCAGAGTGATGCCAACAACCACTGCCTTTGCTTTTTTTTTTTTGGAGACAGAGTTTCACTCATGTTACCCAGGCTGGAGTGCAATGGCGCGATCTCGGCTCACCGCAACCTCCGCCTCCTGGGTTCAGGCAATTCTCCTGCCTCAGCCTCCTGAGTCGCTGGGATTACAGGCACGCGCCACCATGCCCAGCTAATGTTTTTGTATTTTTAGTAGAGACGGGGTTTCACCGTGTTGACCAGGATGGTCTCGATCTCTTGACCTCGTGATCCACCCGCCTCGGCCTCCCAAAGTGCTGGGATTACAGGCTTGAGCCACCGCGCCCGGCCTGCCTTTGCTTTTATATGTTTTTCAGGCACATAAGGAAACTGGGATGTTGCTTCCATTTGGATTTACTCAAGGTTAGTAAGTCCATTTTTCTCATGACGAGTCCTTGCAAATTAACCTTACCTCATCCCTTCCCTAGAACCTCGGGCCTGAGATTAAGAGAAGCTTCCCCCGTGACATACGCATGTGGCAGTTATGTCTGATATAGAGCTCACTTGTTTTATTACTTTACTGTGAAAATCGGAATTGTTTTAATATTGACACATATTCACCTTGCCCTCTAAAGACAGCCTTGATTTCATGAGTAGAAATGGAAACTTCCTTCGGTTTTTGAGATAAACACAATAGATTTTCTTCTATTCATCTTTAACATTTAAACTCTTCATTTGGTGGCCGGGTGCTGTGGCTGACGCCTGTAATCCCGAAACTTTGGGAGGCCGAGGTGGAAGGATCACCTGAGGTCAGGAGTTTGAAACCAGCCTGGCCGCTGCTGCCAAAAACCCCGTCTCTACTAAAAATACAAAAATCAGCTGGGCGTGATGTCGCATGCCTGTAATCCCAGCTACTCAGAAGCTAAGACAGGAGAATTGCTTGAACTCGGGAGGCAGAAGATGCAGTGAGCTGAGATCATGCCACTGCACTCCAGCTGGGGTGACAGAGCAAGACTCTGTCTCAAAACAAACACACAAACAGACACACACACACACACACACACACACACACACACACACACAAACTCTTCATTTGGAAATAATTTCAGACTTACAGAACAGTTGCAAGACTAGAACATGACCAAGGAAACCCACCTGCCTTCAATCCCAGCTCCTAGCCGACAGCACCATCCCATCTGCTTTGCCCCCAACACACACAGGTGTGCACACGATGTCTTCCTTCCTCCACAGCCACCTGCCTCCCGGGGACAGCAGCTCTCACATGACTGCCGTGCAGCTACTGCTTCGGGACAGTGGCCTTGATGTCCCCACACTGCGCTTTGTAAACGAGCCTGGCAGCATACTTCCTGGCACAGAATCAGCTGGGCCGGGCCCTGTCCTGCTGTTTTAGCCTCCTCAAATGTGGAATGTCTCCTCAGCCTCTGTCTTGACTTTGACATTTTTTGACAAATACAATTCCCCCCTCTCCCATTTGGGGTTTGTCTGGTGCTTCCTTGTGACTCAGGTGATGCGTTCCTGGGCAAACACTGCACGGGGAGCTGCATCGGGAGGCAGATATGTCACCTGCCCCTGGTGACGTTCACATTGGCCACCTCTTTAATTTCAAACTTGCATTCATCTGGCTTTCACTCAGAAGCCAACATGAGATGTCAGCAGTTGTATCCTGGGCACATGTTAAAGCAAACAGGTGTTCCAGATCAAAGCACCGAAGGGACCCTGCAGGGGACATGTTGTCCAAAGAAGACTCCAGCAGCCTCTTCTCTTCCATCCCACATCCTCTTCTGCAACGTGACGTGGACACCTGCCCATCAGAGAAGCCTCCCCATGGCTCCAGGGACTCAATGGGAATAACGTGGGGTGACTTCCGAGGGGGGCTTGGGAGCCACACACCTCCCACCAGCTGCCCTGGAACACTCGTTCCCTGACCCCCCTCACAACACTCCCTCCAGGCCCAGCCCCATGAGGAGAGGCCCAAGACAGATATGAGCAGAAGGGGTCCCCAGACCACTCCAGCCCTGGCCATTAGGTCACCCCAGCTGTCTAGCCTTCCCAGCTGAGGCCCCAGTGTTACAGAGTAGGGACGGCTCTCCAGGCTATGCCTGTCTGAATGCCTGGCCCACAGGTGCATGAATGCAATCAAGCGGCTGCTTTATGCCAGTAAGTTGATCTGATAGCTAAACACAACTGAACAGAGTGATAGTTACGCACAGCGTAGCACCCCAGCTGCGTCCTATTGCCAGAAAGCTTACTGTGCAGGACACTCTTTAATAGCTGGAGAAACGAGAATGTGGTATGAATACTGGATATGACGTACCTACTGCTAAGTTGCTTTTTTTTTTGTAGACTGAGTCTTGCTCTGTTGCCAGGCTGGAGTGCAGTGACACGATCTCGGCTCACTGCAACCTCTGTCTCCCGGGTTCAAGCAATTCTCTGCCTCAGCCTCCTAAGCAGCTAGGACTACAGGCACCCAGCTAATTTTTGTATTTTTAGTAGAGATGAGGTTTCAGCATGTTGGTCAGGCTGGTCTCAAACTCTTGACCTCGTGATCTACCTGCCTTGGCCTCCCAAAGTGCTGGGATTACAGGTGTGAGCCACCACGCCGGCCCGACTGCTAAGTTTCTTAAGTGTGACAGCATTCCTTTATTGTGGTGAGACAGGGGATAGGCACTTCGTTTTAAGAGATGCCTGTTAAAATATTTAGGAGTGGAATATCATGACATCTAAAATTTATTTTATTATTATGATTATTAGAGACAAAGTTCTCACTCTGTCACTCAGGCTGGAGTTGGTGTGATCGTCGCTCACTGTAGCCTCAACCTCCCAAGCTCAAGCCATCTTCCCAACTCAGCCTCCCGAGTAGCTGGCACTACAGGCACTCAGCTAATGTGTCTTTTTTTTGTAGAGACGGGGTTTCATCATGTAGCCCAGGCTGGTCTTCGACTCCTGGGCTCAAGTGATCCGCCCACCCTGGCCTCCCAAAATGCAGACATTACAGGCATGAGGCACCGCACCCCGTCTGTAACTTACCTTCAAATGGTTCAGCATACACACACACACACACACACACACACACACACACACACACACGTACATGTGAAATACACAGATATGAACAGAACCAAAGCACACAGGCAATGTCAATAACAGTGGCATTAATGTTGTGGTATGTGGATAATAACTCTATATTGTTTCAACTTTCCTTTGTTTAAAGTTTTTCATAATAAAATTTTTGGGGTAAGCAGGGCATAGTGGCTCACACCTATACTTCCAGCACTTTGGGAGGCTGAGGCAGGGAGACAACTTGAGGTCAAGACCAGATTGGCCAAAAAGGTGAAACCTCATCTCTAACTAATAATACAAAAATTAGCCAGTGTGGTGGTACATGCCTGTAATCCCAGCTACAAAGGAGGCTGAGGCAGAAGAATTGCTTGATCTCGGGAGGTGGAGGTTTCAGTGAGCCGTGATCGCACCACTGCACTCCAGCCTGGGTGATAGAATAAAAATGTGTTTAAAAAAAAAAAAAACCCAAATTTGGGGGATGGCCAGGCACAGTGTTTGATGCCTATAATCCCAGCACTTTGGGAAGCTGAAGCTGGAGGATTGCTTGAGGCCAGGAGTTCGAGAGCAACCTTGGCAACATAGTGAGACCCTCTCTGTACTAAAAATACAAAAGATGAGCTGAGCATGCCTCAGTGCACCTGTGGTCCCAACTACTTGTGGGGCTGAGGTGGGAGGATTGCTTGAGCCTGAGAGATGGAGGCTGCAGTGAGCCCTGATCCCACCACTGCACTCTAGCCTGGCTGACAGACGCAGACTTTGTTCCCCCCCCAAAAAAAAAAAAAGGGGAGAAAGAGAACAAATGAATACCTACAGTTTATTTACAGAGGTGCCACAGAGAGGCTGGGAAGTGATGGGTGGGCAGCTACTCTGGGCCCAGGAAAGTTCCAGACGGGTGATCTCCACAAGCAGCTGGGCCCCAGGACAATGCAGACTCTCAGGCACTCACCACACAGAGGAACTCCCAGGGTGGGAGCCAAGGCACCGCCCGCCTGCCAGCATTTGTGAGAAGCTGTGAGCAGCTTCTAGACCAAAACACCAAAGGGACCCTGCAGGGGATGCCTATGGTTCCAATTACTATGTGTCACACAATTCTGAACATCCTTGGGACCACCAGCAGACCTGACTGCGGTCACAGCCACATTCATTTCCTGACTGATGGGGCCTGGGAGTTCGTCAGCAACTAACTCTCAACTCTTTTAGAAGAACATTCTCTACTTCCTTTTGTAAGTTTAAAATGATTTCAAAATAATATAAAAAAAGGAAGGGTGGCATGATCTCTGTGCCAGGCATTGATACGTCACCTGTCTGTTGAGTGCCTCCATCTCAGAGCAGACCTTTTCACTGTCTTTCTTTAAAACCTCAATTTCTTTCCTGTCGAAGAAGCAAAATTAACAGTGATATCACTTGTGACCAACCAGTGCCTTCTTTACTGGTCAGCACCCAGGGTAAGAGCAGCATGCGGGTTTGCAGCCACAGCACAGACGCTCACACCTGCCCCTGGCATCCTCCAGCCCCTCTTGGTCCCTGCTGCTGCTGCCGCTAATGATGATGACAATCCCGTCCTAATCCCAAACCACGAAGACTTTAGGAACGTGAAACTGTCGGATTACTAGAGAGCTGACACACAGCCAGCATTGTAAGAACACACACCCTGCATGACATTCCTCAATCAAATACATGAATATTTCTTTTGTAAAACATGTAACACTTCACTCAGTAGAGTGAATAGAGACTGAAACACTTCACTCAGTAGAGTGAATAGAAACAGCGCGGCATCTCCAGAGGCCTGCTATCAGCGGGGTCCTGACAGACACAGGAAATCCAGAGAAAAAAGTGGTTTCTGAAGGAACTCTCAAAGATTTCAAAATTGCTGTCATGAAAGGGCAATCCCTGGGTACCTGCTTGGGACTCCCTACTATAATCATCACAGCAGTTCCATCATTTCAGAACCACCGTCTGTGAGAGCTAAGCTCACCTTGAGACGCACACTTGGGAAAAAAAGGCCAAACAATTGTCCTTGGATATAGCTACAGTAGTGACAGCAGAAAGCCACCCTCCCCACAACGCAAACTCTCCCCTCCTTAGTCCCAGGCCTATCCTGGCTTGCACTGAGGGGACACTCCTGCCCCGTCCCCCAACTCTCACTGATGGGTCCCCTCACTGCTCAATCCCCCCAGACTCTCACTCATGGGTACACCCTGCTCAGTCCCCTGACTCTCATTGATAGGCGCCCCCCTGCCCTGCCCCCTGACCCTCACTGGTGGGCGCCCGCCTGCCCTGTCCTGTAAGTCTCACTGGTGGGCACACCCCTGTCTTGTCCCACATGACTCTCATTGGTGCTCCCCCTGAAGACCTCTCTTGCCTCAATGCTCAGGTTCCTGGCCCTCTTCACGCCCATCCCCTCCCTCAGCTCTCGTTCACTGAAACAGATAAAGCAGCAATAACCCTCTGAGGAAGACAGAGCTGAAACTCTTATCAGGAGACGACCCTAGGAGCACCTCTGACCCCTACGGACACTGTTGTGGCCTCCCGTAAGTGCAACATGGAGCATCTCTGTGGGGTGAACAGCACCTGTGCTGGGGCTCCGCTCTCAGTCCTCACCATGCAGAGGGTGCTTTGTCCCACTTCCCACACTAAGGCGTTCAGGCGCCGCCCAAGTGAGGAAGGATCCCAGAGCCTCCCATACCTGCTGATCTTTCAGAAGTTAACAAGGCTCATGCTTAGGGTTTTCTGGAGTGCGGGGCTAATCTGAGAACACTTTCCACTGTTTTTATGGAGACTGCCTAAGGTCACTCTGCAGAGTGCAAAACACACCACCTGAGGGTCTGGGCGGGGCGTGGCCCTTACCTCTGTGCATCGTGAGTGCTTTCTGCAGCTTCAAGCTCTTGCCGAACCCTTCCCAGGTTGTTTTTCAACAAAGCGTTTTCTTCGGTAAGTCTCTGAAACTCGAGTCTGCATAAAAGTTTAGAAAAGACTGGTGAGCATTTGGGGAGCCACATGCGGTCACGGAGCCTGGCTCTGCAGCTGGGAGTCCCGAGAACTGTGCATCCCCATCTGCCCCTACCTGGAGGTGGCGCTGCAGCCCCTTCTTTCCCTCCTCCTGCACCAGGTGTTAACATCTTGCATCTCCAAGAGCCAAGCCACAGAAAACGAAGCTTTCTTAGCTTCTAAACTGCCACACCATCAAGTCACAAATGCACTCGGCAACTTGGGTTTTGCTTATGCTGAGTTTACAGCTGACCTGCTCCTGCATCTGTGGCCTCTCGCCAAACACATGCGTGTCCTGGGTGCCAGTGCTGGGTGTGAGTCCTCCGTACTGCAGGGTACTCATCCCCTGGCAGTGAACCCAGCGTGGAGCTAAGAAACACAGGAATCAGAAGGCCAAGATACATAGGACAGATTTCCCTCTTAGACAAGAGTCCCACCCATTATTCTCCACTGTGAGACCAGCCCTAGGAGAAACTTAGGAAGATGCCCACATCAATGCATGGAGAGAAACCTTTGCTAGGTGAATCCCGAAGTGGGAAAAGGCAGGGATAAACAGCCACTATGTGAACCAAGTCTGCCTGGGGCCATCTTTGTTCTCTTACAACTCAGAGAGTCTCTGCTTGGGTAATGCCACTGATTTGCCAGATGAGCAGTTTATCAATGAAGATCACTAATGGGAGCCAGGTGTGGCGGCATCCATCTGTAATCCCAGCTACTGGAGAGGCTGAGGCAGGATGACTGCTTGAGCCTAGGAGTTTGAGACCCTCCTGAGCAACACAGTGAGATCCTGTCTTTAAAAAAAAAGGTCACTGGCTGGATGCAGTGGCGCACGCCTGTAATCCCAGCACTTTGTAAGGTTGAGGCGGTCAAACCACGAGCTCAGGAGAACGAGACCATTCTGGCTAACATGATGAAACCCTGTCTCTACTAAAAATACAAAAATTAGCTGGGCGTGGTGGCACGTGCCTGTAATCTCAGCTACTTGGGAAGCTGAGGCAGGAGAATCGGTTGAATCGGGAGTCGGACGTTGCAGTGCGCTGAGATCGCGCCACTGCACTCCAGCCTGGCAACAGAGTGAGACTCTGTCTCAAAAAAAAAAAAAAAAAAAAATCACTAGTGAAGTTGTTTAAAACCCATACTTGCTACCCAGAGGATGGATTCTTAATACTGACGGGTAAGACTAACGTGTACTTCCCCAATATGCCTCTATATGGCACTAGCTTCAGTATTTCCTGAAAATACTGAAAGCCACATGATCTCACCATATTCACTTTATGTATTACTATTTTTTCTTTGAGATGGAGTCTCGTTCTATAACCCAGGCTGGAGTGCAGTGGCACAATCAAGGCTCGCTACAGCCTTGAACTCCAAAAACTGGGACCACAATAGTTATGCGCCACCATGCCAGGCTAAATTTTGTTGTGGTTGAGATGGGGTGTCGATATGGTGCCCAGGCTGGTCTCAAACTCCTGGTGATCCTCTCACCAGACCTCTCAAAGCGCTAGGATCACAGACGTGAGCCACCGTGAGGCTACTTTATGCATTACGCTTATAATAGTAAACATAAACTTCTTCATATGCCTTCATTTTATCTCATGAGGAACTAAAGAGAAAAATAGAAGCCATCGGAATTAAGAGCAGCAAAGGGTTTCAAGCAGGAGAGTGAAAACAGGAGAGTTCTGTGTTTTGAAACTATCGCTCTGACTCCAGAATGGGAACAAGTTGATGCAAGGCTGATAAGCTGAGGGTTGCTCCCCCGATCCACCCCACAACTGCCCAACAACTAGATCCTGCACAAAGCTGATTTTAAGCTCCGTGACTGCCCTCATGGGAAGAAAAGGAAACCTCCAAGAGTCACCAAACAAAACAAAATCCTGGAAGCTGAAACCAAAGTTGTGAGCATTAGGCAATACAAAGCTGGGGGGACCCTGCAACCAGTGCCTATGTCAGCACTGCTATCAACAGAATGGAGAAGCTGCACTGTGGACACCTGCACCAGCCAGGGCCCTAGAAGGAGGTTCAGATGGTCCCAGCTTAGTAGCCTCCCACTTCTCTGCAAAAGCAATAGCATCCTACATAAGGTTCTGTACGTTCTCAGAGGTTAACATCAAGCAAATATGAGCTCACAATCAAAGATCACCAGAACATACATGGAGAAAAGCCACCTATAAAGGACAGTGGAAGCCAGAAGCCAGAATTCAATCCCCTAGAAACTGCAGGTATTGGAACTGTTAGATACAAACTGAGTGTTATGAAATGTTTGCATAAATACAAGACAGAAAGAAACAATGAACAAACAAGAAACTATCGACAATGATCAGACAGGACCAAACAGAATTTTTAGAAATAAACAAAAAGTCAATGTCAAAATAAAAACTCATAGAACGGGTTAAATAGCAGATTACACAGAGCTGAATGAAAGAGATACTGACCTGGAACACAGAGGTATGGAAAAAAATACCCCAAATGTGATACAGAGAGAAGATGGAAAATATAAAAGAGAGGTTGAGAAAGCAAAAAGATCTAATATCATGCATCTAATTGAAGAAAACAGTGGGAGGAGAGGCAATATTTTAATAGTAATGGCTGAGAGGTTTTCATAAGACACTAATGCAATCCATACATACAACAGGGAAAATCGTTCTTATTTTCTTTTTCTTTTTGTTCTGCCACCCAGGCTGGAGCGCAGTGGTATGATCTCAGCTCACTGCAGCCTCAACCTCCCAGGCTCAGGTGATCCTTCCATCTCAGCTTCCCAAATAGCTGGAACCACAGGTGTATGCACGATGACTAATTTTTCCTAAGTTTTGTAAAAACAGTCTCCTTATGCTGTGTAGACTAATCTTGAACTCCTGGGCTCCCAAAGTGCTGGGATTATAGGTGTGAGCCACCGTGCCTGGCTGGGACAATGTTTTCTAAGTAGGATAAACAAAAAGAAAACTACACCTATGCCCACAACACAACAATCCCATTTCTAGGGACAGCCCAACAAATGTTCCAAAAGACACATGCAACAATGTTCAGTGCAGCTCCTTTTGTGAGAGCCAAACCTAGGAACTACCCAAATACCCATCAACAGGAACAAGAATAAACTGTGATATGTTCACACAACAGAATACCACACAGCAATGCAAATGCATGATCTACAGCAGCAACACGGGTGAACTGCACAAACAGGCTGAGCCAAGAAAATCAGACAAAAAGGGCACACACTGCATGATTCCTCTCCCTAAAGCACAAGGAAAAGCAAAATGGATCTATGCTGTGAGAAGTGGTTACTCCTGGGGACTTTAGTCACTTCTATCTCTTGTTCTGGGTGGTGGTAACAAAGATGTGTTCAATTTGTTGACAATTCTCCTAATTGTACATATAAATGCATTTTCTTATGTATATCACACTTTAATAAAAAGTTAAAAAGAGGCCAGGCATGGTGACTCACACCTGTAATCTCAAAGAGGCTCCACTTTGGGAGGCTGCGGCAGAAGGATCACTTGAGGCCAGGAGTTTGAGACCAGCCTGGGCAAAATAGTGAGACTCCATCTCTACAAAAAAAAAATAAATAAAATAAAATAAATAAAAAGTGGCCAGGCAAGGTGGCTCAGGCCTGTAATCTCAGCACTTTGGGAGGCCGAAACAGGTGGATCACTTAAGGCCGGGAGTTCAAGACCAGCCTGGCCAACATGGGGAAATCCCATCTCTATTAAACACACACACACACACACACACACACACACACACACACACACACACCAGCTGGGCATGGTGGCAGGCACCTGTAATCATAGCTACTTGGGAGGCTGAGGGAGAAGAATTGCTTGAACTCAGGAGGCGGAAGTTGCAGTTAGCTGAGATCGAGCCACTGCACTCCAGCCTGGAAAACAGAGCAAGACTCTGTCTCAAAATAAATAAATAAATAAATAAATAAATAAATAAAATACATAAAAATAAAAAGTTAAAAAGAAAGAAATGCACACCAAAGAAAAACCACCAAAGGTAGAGGTCTCAGAAGTAGCCAGAGCACAAAAGTCAGACACCTACTGTGGATGGCACAATACTGGCCCCTAACAGAGACTATGTGACATTACACAGCAGGGGGATGAAGGCTGCTCGTTCTCTGACCGCAGATGATTCTGGATTCTCCAGAGGAAACCAGCATAATCACAAGGGTCCTTAGAAGTGGAAAGCAGAGGTAGAAGAGTCAGTGTTGCAGTGAGGTGATGTGAGGAGGACTCGGCCACCCAGGGCTGGCTTCCGGGATGGAAGGACGCCTCCAGTCAAGGCCATTGGAGAGGGCAAGGCAGGGAGCACACCTTGGGGCCTCCTGATGGCCCCGCAGCCCTGCCAGCACCTCACTTCTGGCCCAAGGAGACCCTTCACTCTTCCAACCTCCAAAACCATAAGAGTGCACATTTGTGCCGTGTTAAGCCACTGAGTCCATGGAAACGCACACAAAGGAAGGGCAGTCAGACGATTGAAGGCTGACCATGCAGCGTCAACAACCGAGTCCCAGACACAGAAAGAAGACATTTCAAGGGCCGATAGGCAGCCCTCCAGATTTGTGTTCCTAGGAATACTGCCTTACAAAAATGAAGGAACATTTAAGACATCTTTCAGATAAGCAAAAACAGGAAATTTACTCTAAATACAGTTTTACTAATGGATTTTCTTTTTTTTTGAGACTGGAGTGCAGTGGCACTATCTGGGCTCACTGCAACCTCCGTCTCCTGGGTTCAAGCAATTCTCCTGCCTCAGCCTCCCAAGTAACTTGGACTACAGGCATGTGCCACCACGCCTGCCTAATTTTTGTATTTTTTAAAATAGAGATGGGATTTCACCATGTTGGCCAGGCTGGTCTCCAGCTCCGGAACTCAGGTGATCCACCTGCCTCAGCCTCCCGAAGTGCTGGGATTGCAGGTGTGAGCCACCATACCCGGCCATGAAGGAACTTCTAAAGGTCACTAAAGTTTAGAAAAAAATCCCCTAGGGAAGGCAAGAGATCCAATAGGAAACACTGAGACTCCAAAGGGAGTGGGCTGAGAGGGGGGCAGCACCACAGTGGCCCACCTGAGAAGCGTCACCTGGACCTCATCAAGGGGAAAGGCAGGAACAGAGACTGTGGACAGTCTCCAAGATGGTCTTGATTCTTCAAAAATGTCAGTGTCCACATTCCTAAACACAATCTTCCAAAACTGACTCAGGAGAATCAGAAGATCTAAACAGACCTGTCTCAGGAGATTGAATCAGGAATTTAAAAACCTCATAACAGCCAAGCATGGTGGTTCACTCCTATAATCCCAGCACTTTGGGAGGCAGAGGCAGGCAAATCAACTGATGTCAGGAGTTCGAGACCAGCCTGGCCGACATGGCAAAACTCCGTCTCTACAAAAAATACAAAAATTAGCCAGGTGTGGTGGTGCATGCCTATAATCCAGCTACCTGGAAGGCTGAGGCAGGAGAATTGCTTGAAACTTGGAGGCAGAGGTTGCAGTGAGCTGAGATAGTACCACTGCACTCCAGCCTGGGCCAAAAGCAAGACTCTGACTGAAGGAAAAAAAAAAAAACAACAAACCAAAAACCCAAAAATCTCATAGCAAAGCCCAGGAGCTGATGGCTTCACAGTGAATTCTACCAAACACTTAAATAAAAACCTCCACCACCTCTTCTCAAACTCTTCCCCAAGAATTGAAAAGGATGGAACACTTCCAAACTCATTCTAGGAAGTCAGCATTACTTGATACCAAAGCCAAACAAGGACACTACAGATCAACAAAGGAAAACTGCAGACCAGTCCCTCATGATGCAAAAACTGATGCTAAAATCCTCAACAAAATACCAGCAAGTTACTGTTTAATGGGTATACAGCTTCTGCTGGGAACAACAATGAAAAAGTTTTGGAAGCAAGTGCCGGGCAGTGGCTCACACCTGTAATTCCAGCACTTTGGGAGATGAGGTAGGCGGATCATGAGGTCAGGAGATCAAGACCAGCCTGGTTAACATGGTGAAACCTCATCTCTACTAAAAATACAAAAGTTAGCCAACCGCAGTGACAGGCGCCTGTAATCCCAGCTACTTGAGAGGCTGAGGTACAAGAATCTCTTGAACCAGAGAGGCAGAGGTTACAATGAGCCGAGATTGCACCACTGTACTCCAGCAGGGGTGACAGTGCAAGACTCTGTCTTTAAAAAAAAAAGAAAAGAAAAGAAAAGAAAGAAGCAAGAACTTCCTAAGACCAAAAGGTGGGGACACAGGGCCGGCTGGGCTGCCCCGAAAGGCCAAGGCCATCCTGCCTCCCTCTGCTCACTCAGAGCACCTGGTGACCGTGGGATTCCGGGACAGGGCTGGGCTAACGACCCCCTACCCAGGCTGGAGGGCTACACAGCCACCCCCCGTCAGAGGTGAGAGCTTGTTGGCAGGAAGGGCCAGGCAGCACCATTAACAACAGTGGTCAGTGGGTTAATTCTGCATTTTAAGAATAAGCAGAAACCAAACCTATCGTTCTCGTGTTTCTTCAGAGCCGGGACGACTTCCTCCAGATGTAGAGGTTTGGTTTCCATGTCAACCTCTCTCTCCAGCGCTATTTCGGCCTCCTTCTCTCCTGGGACAGCAAGGTGCTCCTGTCCAGTGCTCCGCGGGTCTGTGAGCTGGAAGGGGGATGGCGAAGACCTTCTCCTGGTGACCTCCATTCTGTGCTGGTGGCACCCAGGCTCCAGGGCGCCCTCGGCCCTGGCCTGCCCCTCCGAGGCCTGCCCCTGGCTCCCCACTGGGCGCACCCTGCTCCAGCTCCGCGCAGGTTCTTCCTGAACGGCCTGTGGGCTCTCAGCCTGTCCCCTGCACAAGGCGGCCAGGTTCAGGGGTGGCTCCCACATCCCTGGCTGGGCAGGCAAGGCGTTTCCCTCTGTCCCCAGCAGAGGCAGCTCCTGTGCTCCAGGCTGCTCCAGGCCTGCTGTGCCGGTGCAGAAAGGCTCTGGCTCCTCTGGGACAGTCCCCCTATCCACTCCACGGGGCTGCACGGGAGACTTGTCTGAGGGCCTGTGGGATGCTGGGGCGGGGGCGGGGGCGGGGGCGGGGGCCGGACTCTGCACAGCGTCTTTGTCCTGGTCTTGCCTGCGGCCAGGCCCGGCTCCTGCCGCCTCCCCGGACCCTCCGCCATTGCCTGTGGCCGGCCAGGCCAGTAGCCACTCCCCGCAGCCCGGACACAATGGTGGAGGGCCGTGTGCGCCCTCCCGGCCTCTTCCTGCCACCAGCCCATCTTTCGGCAGGGCCCACGGCATCTCTGCTTCTCGGTGGGGCCTGTCCGCTCGCTTCACGCGGGCGAGCTCCCACCCGTCCTCCTCGAGGGCCAACGATGCGCACATCTGGGCATGCTCTCTGCTCGCACGGGACTGCGGCTTTGGTGGTCCCCGCTCCACCCACTGTGGCCTCTTCAGCTCCAGCTGTTCCGGCCTCCGGCTCCCGCGCGGCAGGAATCCCTGCGGTGGCTCCTCCAGCCCCAGGGTCAGGTCCTCGCAGGCAGGCAGGGCTCCCAGCCGCGACGGCTCTCCACTCATCTCCGCCTCGGCCTCTCTCCTGCAGAAATGGAACTGTCACACACCATAGCCCTGCTACCCCCAGCCCCTCTCGGTTAGAAAAGTCTGCCCAGCTGCTGCAATGGCCCTGACCTCCTTTCATGGCTGGCTTGCTTTATCCCTCATTGCCTCCCTCAGCCCCAGCTTCATTCCACACCCGAGGCCCTCCTTGGAGTCCAGAGAGGATCCGCACCACAGGGCGAGGTTCTGCACATGGAAGCCCAAGCACAAGCCCTTTCCCTGTGGACTGTTCATATGTAAGATGACTGCCACCAAGCAGGACCTAGGAGCAGCCCCTTGGCAGTGCAGGCTGCGTTCTAAGTCCTTGGCAGGCACCTAACTGCACAGGGCAGACACAGGACGTGGCCCACACTGCAGTGGGTGCTGCTGGATCACGCTGGACACCCACAGCCAAAACTGCCCCAAATCCCTAAAGCTGTGGGCCTTGGGACCTCTGGTGGTCCACGGGAGAGTCCTGTGGAAGTGAGGTGAGGGCGGGCAAGAGCACAACCCCCAAAGGGGCATATGGTCCTTGCCTGGCCAGGGCACGGGGAGCAAGGAAGTGGTCAGAGGAGGCTCCACCTCCACGAGTTGGAAGATCGGGTGCTGGGCAGAGCAGGGACAGTGGCTCCCCAGAAGCAAGCGGCCAGAGACCTCCCAGTGGACAGCTCTGGGTGGGGACCAGGTGCACAATGGCCTGGATCTGAGAGGAGGGGGCTGCCTGTGCCTGCCCCTCTGTCCCCAGTGGGGTCTACAGGGACTCTGACCACGTACCTTACCATACATGCTCTTGGTTTACAGGGGAAACAGCTGAAAGCCTGGAGAGGCACAGGATGGAAAGATGACGTGTTTTATTTATTTATTTTTTTTGAGAGAGTCTCACTCCGTCACCAGGCGCCACGCTGGAGTGCAGTGGCACGACCTTGGCTCACTGCAGCCTCTGCCTCCCAGGTTCAAGCAATTCTCCTGTCTCGGCCTCCCGAGTAGCTGGGACTACAGGCATGCGCCACCACACCCAGCTAATTTTTTGTATTTTTAGTAGAGACGGGGTTTCACCATGTTGGCCAGGATGGTTTTAATCTCTTGACCTCGTGAGCCACCCGCCTCGGCCTCCCAAAGTGCTGGGATTACAGGCGTGAGCCACCATGCCTGGCCAGATGACGTTTTTTTTTGAGACAGAGTCTCACTCTGTGACCCAGGCTGGAGTGCAATGGCGTAATCTTGGCTCACTGCAACCTCCACCTCTAGGATTCAAGCAATTCTCCTGCCTCAGCCTCCCAAGTAGCTGGGATTACAGGTGCCCACTACCATGCCCAGCTAATTTTTTGTATTTTTAGCAGAGATAGGGTTTTGCCATGTTGGCCAGGCTGGTCTTGAACTTCTGAGCTCAAGCAGACCACCTACCTCGGCCTCCCAGAGTGCTAGGATTACACGCATGAGCCATTGCGCCTGGCCAAAGGCAGAAGGGCCCATCCTCTTCTAAGCTGGGGCCAATGCTCTCCACAGGACAGTGGGTGCCGGCTGAGCAGCAGCCTGTCTGCAATGACCAGGCACTTCCTCTCCCACCTCAGATGCCCCCAACAAGAACATACATGGTCACTTCGCATGTAGCTCACACCAGAACACACAAAACACCAGCGTGGGCTTTCTGTAAGCCTTATCTCTTGCTTGCACACTAGAGCCTTTTTGGTAATCTCACTAACGCCCCTGGCAATCTTTCCCATTTTCAGGGTTTCTGGCCTTTCCCTGTCTTCCCGCATGCTACCCTGCCTGGCCCTGGAGAAGTGGGCAGTTCTGAGCGAGGGAGGCGATGCTGTCGCCAGGCACGGCTGAGGCAGAGGATACAGAGCACTAGGCTGTTCCTACACAGTCAACAGCTTCACGGACCATGCTCCAATGCGTACTTTAAATTTAGAGCTGGAATCCTCATGCCAGGACCTATTCTTTTGGGACTCGCCCATCTGCCCAGAGGAAAATCACCCAGTCAGGAGGCACAGCAATTCTGAGTTGTTTCCTAAGTCTAATTTCAAATTTTGGTTCTTGGCAAGAAACCCCAGACTTGAAATCCCGAAAGAAGCCGGCCACACCTGATCTGCCGCAGGTGGCTCTGATGCCGCAGGGCCAGGCCACACGGTGCCTGTGTGCAGCAGGGTGCCAGCCCCATCCACGCAAGCCTGGGGCTACGGGCTGCATCCTGCAGCTGCTCCTGCAGGCCCTGGATGACCTCCTGAGACTTCTCGTTGAGCTTCTCCAGGTCGGCCTTCTGACCCTCCAGCACGCTGACCTCGCGCCTGCAAGCCTGCTCCATGTCCTTCCTCTCCTTCTCAAAGTTCCTTTTCAGTGCTGCAATTTCCCTTTCATAGTAATTTACCTAAAATGAGAAACATAAGCAGCATGGACCAGGAGGCTGTGAAAAATGACCTAGCTGCTGACACAACACAGAAACACAAAGCTTTGCACAACGTGCAAAAACTGGAGTCCTGGCCTGCCAAGGTGCCAGGGTGTGTGGAATGGGACAGTGATAGGAACGCCGCTGGTGCTCCCCAGGGCCCAGTGTGGCGCAAGTCACCCATTCCCCCTGAGGCAGGGTAGCAGGCGGGGACAGGAAGCTTGGGGCTCACTGGAGCATCTGGCCAAGCACTGAAGGGACGCAGAGGATAGAACCTTTACAGGACCTCGGGGTGGCTCTGAATGGCCGGGGGACCCTCGGTGGAAGGAATACCATCCAGCCATGGGTGGGCAGGGCTTAATAGAGCTTCTGGTTAATTCTTCGGGGACCCCCAGGGCATGGCCACAGGACAGAGGCAACTCCATCTAGCCACTACTCAGACGGAGGAGTAGTGTGGACGCTGTTCCTCAAAAGCCACCACAGTCTAAGAACAGAACCGGGCTGGCCAGGCGCGGTGGCTCACGCCTGTAATCCCAGCACTTTGGGAGGCCGAGGCGGATGGATCACGAGGTCAAGAGATCGAGACCATCCTGGTCAACAAGGTGAAGCCCCGTCTCTACTAAAAACACAAAAATTCTGGGCATGGTGGCATGCACCTGTAGTCCCAGCTACTCGGGAGGCTGAGGCAGGAGAATTGCTTGAACCCAGGAGGCGGAGGTTGCAGTGAGCCGAGATCGCGCCATTGCACTCCAGCCTGGGTAGCAAGAGCGAAACTCTGTCTCAAAAAAAAAAAAAGAACAGAACAGGGCTAAGTTCATCCTGACAGCTTTATCCGGGGCGTTCCTGGCCACAAAGCCACTGAGCTAACCAGAGGGCAAATGCCAGGTAGCTCAGGCTTGGAGCACAGCCAGTAACTGATTCCCACCTGCAGACTGGCAAGGAGGCTGGCCACAGCACTGCCTCAGGTGTCCCCTTGTGACACCCCAGATCATCACACCATTCCCTCCCTGTCAGTCAGCCTATGTCCTATGTCTTTCCAAAGAGGGTCTGGGCAGCATGTCAGTTTTATTTGCATTTCCCTACAAACTTTCCTCACCAAAAGGGCTCACAATGAGACAGAGGATTCCAGGGCAGACACCCGTGGAAATGTCAGTGTGGTTGAGTAAAGCTACCTGACATACGGCAGCTGCTCCCCTGGGACCCCACAGCCCCACGCTCCCCTCACCTTGGTCTCCAGCTGGGTCCTGAGGTCTTGGTAATGCTCTTTCACTTGCTCCACCATCAGCTCTGTTTCTATACTCACTGGAGAATTACCCAGGAACGAAATGCATGCAAACAAGAGGACACTTCTGTTTGTCGCACTGAGGATGCTATGGGGGCCCCTTCCAAAGCCCCCAATCTGATATCTGGGTGGCATCTGTGAGGCGCAGGCAGTGCTGGCTGTGAGGATGCCCCCGCATTCTGAAAGTCAGCACTCCTCAGTACACAGCATTCCATTATTTACCGGAACACTCAGAGGTGAGACGAGGTGACTCCCCACAAGCTTCTCAGAGGCCCCTTTATTTCCTAAGAGTTTTGTGCCATAAGTACATTTACAATACCCTAAATCCTGTTCCCTGAAGATGCCAGGGACACGGAGGAAATGGGAGGACAGGGTGGCCTGTGGCACAGCAGATCCCCAGCAGTACAGAGCTTTAGACGATGTGCAGATGATCACAGCTATGTGCATGAAGGTGATCTATCCATTCTATGCATTGCAGCTTCCGCCTTTTCTTGGTGGCCCTACGCTATGCATTATTGCATTACACAAACGATGCTGGATTCCCAGGCAAGTCTAGCACACTAACCCTTGCTGGAATTAGGGCTCTGAGGCTGACAGGCAGGGAGGTGTGATGGCTAGCGATGTCCAGGTGGGACATCAATGGGGTTACAGACCCACAGGCACCACCCTGGGTGCAGGGATATGTGTGTTTCCCAGATGTGTGGCCGACAGGGTCTTGTTCCTCCCTGCAGCTTCCCGAGGGCGTGTGAGCTGTTGGGGCTGTGCCTTGGGAGCCTGACTCCAATCCAGGAACCAGCAGGGGAGGGGCTGCCTTAGGTGTCCCAGGAGGTTGGCCCCACATGCACAAAAGCCCCACTAGGCTCCCCTAAGAGGTTCTCATATTGGCTCTTTTGGCAACACATTTTTTTTCTGTTCTATTGCGTCAACAGTTTCAGGGCAACAGGAGAGCTCTTGAGGTTCTCCCAGGGTTACAGATGGCAGCAAAATCTCTGAGGGGCTGAGGTTGGCATGACGGGGGAGCGAGGGGAGACAGTGGGGCTGCTGGGTCCCCATGGGCCCCTGTCACAGCAATGGACACAGAGCCATGTGCATCGTATGCTGCTGTTGGGTGGTCAGAGGCCACCCCATCCTCCAAAAGGGGCACTGCAGACCTCAAGGGTGGCTGCAGCACCTGGATCCCCATTCTCTCTCCAGAGGAGCCAGACACTTCAATGTGGGTTCTGGGGCCTCTGGGTGCTTGGAGCTTGTCCCAACCCCATCAGCTGGGAGCACAGGGGCACTTGGCCAGGCAGGACCGCTCCCTGGGTGCCTGGTGTCTCCCTGCCTCATTCAGACTTGCGGGGTGCCAGCTACCACATCACCCCAGAAGCAGCAAGGGCAAGCTCACCAGCTTCTGTCCGAACAGGCCTGAGTACTGGGAGGCCCCAGCACATTCACCAGGACTTGGTTCTTCTGAGTCTCAGCAAGTACTGTGCCACTGAGAACAGCTCTCAGATGTGGGAACAGCCTGGGCCAGACCTGGGGCTGCCCACCCTCAGCCTCCCTTCCTCCTCCCTCTTCAGGTGACCTTCCGTATTGTAGGGTTGCCCTATGGCATCACTGGATCCTCCTTTCAAAGTCCCTGCAGAGCAGACCACCTCTCTTCAGGTCACAGCACTATCATCATCTTCATCATCTCCGCCCCCCTCTCCTGGCTCTGGGCCTTGGTGTCAATAGCAGGCCTTGGGTCAGCTCCCTCCCAGGGGCAGGCTCCTACCTGCTGGGCTGAGTCCAGAGAGCTGCCGTCCACGCCCACCTGGGCCCCTTGAGGGGCTGTGCCGGCTCTCAGGCAGCTGCGTCCGCAGGCCTTCCAGCTCAGCTTGCAGTTCATCGTTGCGGTCCTGCAGGTCCTGTGGGGAAAGAGCCAGACACCTCCTCTAGCAGCTGCAGCCATTCAGCCAAGTGAGACAGTTGAGCTGGCCTCCAGGAGGGTCCCCTGAAGGTGAGGTGCACTGTGAGGTGGGAGCCTGTTGCTTCCCAGCTCCCAGCAGGAAACCATCTGGATTTAAAGTCCCTAACTACATTGTGGGCTAAGCAAACACAAGGGTCCTTTCTCGACTTTCTCATGCCCTACATCACTTTAAATTTTTTTTATTTTTACTTCCTTTATTTATTTAGAGACAGTCTTGCTCTGTTGCCCAGGGTGGAGTGCAGTGGTGCAATCTGAGCTCACTGCAGCCTCCTCCTCCCAGGTTCAAGTGATTCTCTTGCCTCAGCCTCCCAAGTAGCTGGGTTACAGGTGTGCATCACTACACCTGGCTAATTTACTTATTTATTTTTGTATTTTTCATACAGATGAGGTTTTACCATGTTGGCCAGGCTGGTCTCAAACTCCTGGCCTCAAGTGATCTGCTCGCCTCAGTCTCCCAAAGTGCTGGAATTACAGGCGTGAGCCACTATGCCTAGCCCCTCATTACTTTCTATCACTGGATATATGGGAGGTGCTCAAAGAAAAAAGTGGGGCGGCTACTAAGGAGAAATGTAGAAAATGCAGAGTATGGCTGGGCAAGGTGGTTCATAATCCCAGCACTCTGAGAGGCTGAGATGGGAGGATCACCTGAGGTCAGGAGTTTGAGGCCAGCCTAGCCAACATGGTGAAACCCTGTCTCTACTAAAAATATAAGAATCAGCTGGGTGTGGTGGCATGCACCTGTAATCCCAGCTACTTGGGAGGCTGAGGCAGGATAATCACTTGGACCCGGGAGGCAGAGATTGCAGTGAGCCAAGATCACACCATTGCACTCCAGCATGGGCAACAAGAGTGAAACTCCCATCTCAAGAAAACAAAACAAAACAAAAAGAATGCAGAGTACTGTCACCATCAGAAGCTACAGGTCTTTGTTGGAACCTCAGTGGTGTTGCAGTGTGCGTGTCAGGCCTGGGTAAGGATTCCTTCCTCAGCTGCTGCTGAATTTGCAAAGGGTTCCGCAGCTTTGACTACCAAAGAAGAAACCATGTGCTTCAGGTCATATGCCGCAAAGCAGAGAACATGTCAGAAAGAAAGGATGATGATGGAAAGCAGATACTGGAGCAGGCAGAGGCCGCGTGGCTGACAGGAAGGCCAGGACACCTGTAGTAGGGTGGGGGTGGAAGCTTCAGAGGAGGCGTCTGCATTTGTGGCCAGCTGAATTCTCCTCCCATTTTAATGAACTACATCCTAACCAGTATGCTCAATCACTTGCTCTTCAAAGGGATAGGAAAGGCAGAGTTTCTAGCCCACTTTCTTAGACACCTCCTAGGGTCCTGGGGACCTTCAGGAAGTAGACACAAACCAGGCTGTGCATGCTGCACTATTCACATGTGGCTGGGGCCTGGGCACCCAGCCCTGCAACTTGAGTGGGACTTGACTGTTCTGACCTAGAGGGCAGCAGAAGTGATGCCACGGGAACTTCAAGAACACGACATCCACCCACTTCTGCTGGAACACTTGCTGTGGAGCAGCTGCCACCAGCATGCTGTGAGGAGGCCACCCGGAGAGGCCCAGATGGAGAAGAAGGGAGGCCCCAGCCCACACGGCCCATCATGCAACATACCCAGGTAACAAACATGCACATGTAGCCCCAAATCTAAAATAACAGTTGAAAGAAAAAAATGTTTTAAAAGACACCAATATCCTTGTTACAAAATACAAAGAAACCCCAGTAGTGAGTTTGCAGAGACGAGGTGACACACAGTGGGCAGGGCTCAGGGTGATCCTTTCAGGGTGATCCTTCTGGAATCCAGACTGGCCAGAGAGATGCCCTCAGCCAAGACGCAGGAGCAAGGAGCATGCCAGGCATCCAGATCCTGTCTCTAAAACCATTCCCTCAGGAAAGGAACCAGGACTTCTTGAATAAATGGCAGATTCCAGGGCAGGTGCAGGCAAAGTGCAAGATGAACCTGGGGCATCTCATGCCAGTAAGTGTGGAAACATTCAACAAAGCAAGGCAGAAGCCAACACTGCAGGGCATGCCACAGCACAGCACGCAGTCGAGGACTCTCACTTGATAAATCTTGCACAGTTTGGGCACCAAACTAATTAAAAACCATTGGGGGGAAATGGGAATTCATGAGTCCATTACCAGTGATAGGTACATGTATGACTAGATCTGAACAAATAGGGCTTCTCCAGCTTGAATACAATGCCACCAGCATGGACAGGTGTGGAGGGGCTGCTAAGCAGGAAAATCATTTTCCAACCATCATAATAAAGGCTGAATTGGGCAAGAATCACCAATGATGCTAAATCCAGGGAAAATTCTGTTGAAGGCAGGATATTTGCATGGTCTCAAAGTGTTTCTCCACTGACTGTGTATTATTAATAGTTGCAAGGGAGAAAAAGTGGTGATTACAGAGCAGTGAAACCAGTGACACCTTGGCCAGGAGATCAGAAGCAACATCGGTGAGCCAGATACATCGCCCACATGCTGTACCAGCCGAGGACACACAGCCTCAGTGCTGTGCGCAGAAAACACGAGAAACACACAAAACGACAATGCTGCTATGAAAAAGCGAGGAGGACAGCATTCCTCAAAAATACCAATGTCATAAAGACAAGGAAAGGAAATGAGTCAGAGTAAAGGACATTAAAGAAACAGCCTGGGCCTGGGTGGATGCCAGGTTGAGGAAAGCAGCTCAGCCAGCAGGTAACGTGTTGCTTCGATGGCAGTTCATGAAGCTAACAAGCATGCCTCCGTCATGGAGACAATATTCTTATTCAGTTGGGTGTTGGGGAACTTACTCTCCAGGAAATAAAAGCTCTTGCTTGTGGCTTCCGAGATTTCTGTGGTTTAAAGCCTGTGTCAATTTGAAGCCCACCAAGGGCTTAATAAGCAACCTACAAAATCCTTGAACACTGCATGATCACCTGCGGGAGCAGGAAGCTGCACAGCACTGCCAGCGGAAGCGTTTCTTAGGATGTGCACACAAGCGCTGGGCCGTGAAGGGTGAAGATGTGCTTGTCTAACCCACAACTATCTAGACAGATATTATCTAAAAATCATGATGTCTAGCAACTTTATGGGTACTTACCCATCTTTTTCTTATTAGGTTATGTAATTTCATATTTGGAGAGTTTTTATATATACTTGGATCCAGAATATATAAAAACATATAATTCACAAACATTTACTCCCATTTGTGTCTTTTGATCAGTGGGTCTTAATTTTTATTAAATCAAATGTTATTTTTGGAAAAATCCATTATGAACCAGGCTTTAGAAGGCATAGTAAATAAAACCTGGATGTCATGAAGATCACAGCATTTTCTCCTTTTCTCAGTGGATTCTCCAGTATTCTGTGGGAAATCTCTGCGCTCAGGTCCAGGGCCAGGTGTTGCCTTTAGTTGTCCTGTTCCTTTAATGTCCCTGACTCGGAGACACTCCCACAGCCTTTGTCTTTTATGACATTGATAATTTTGAAGAACACTGTTCTTCCTGCCCATTTTTCATAGAAATGGTCTCATATTGTGGTTTGCTGATGTTTCCTTTTGATTATTTGAAACTATGGTTCAGAAATAACGATGTCTACACATTCACATCTACATCAACACACACCAGTGAGCAAGTATGTGAAGACAGAGCCAATGGGGTGAAGTGTGAACAGGTGCACGTGGGTAAAGGGTACACAGACAGGTGTTCTATGCACTACTTTTGTTTATAACTATGAAAGCTTGAAATTGTTTTCATATAAAAAGTTTCTTAAATGCTCTAGATGTTAGTTTGAAACAGACAACAAATATCCAAGAAAAGGAAAGGGGAAATAATAAATAGGTTAGGACTTAAACAAAAACTATCTCTGCTGTTTCAAAAAATAAAATTGAAAGAACCCCAGATGAAAATAGCATGTCTTTCAGTAACAGAATCATGTTACAGAAAGAAGGGATTTAAATTTGAAAAATCCAGGGCACTAGAGGAACCTATTAATGGAAGGTTGTCTCTAGGTTCTGAGTCCGCTCCAGCAGCTACAAGAGGAGGAATTCAGCAGTCCACATGCAGCTGCAGTCCCGGCAGTGCACTGTCTGGACCCCACCCGCACAGCAGGCCCCACCAACCCCACACACACCAGCCACGTCAGAAGGAAGGCGATGCCCCTCACCACACAGGATTCTCAAAAGGAGAATGAGATGTGCAGGGAACGACAGGAGGGCGCCCAGATGGAGGCAAACCACGACAGGAAGGGTTCAGAAGCACAGCCACGGAGAACGCAAGCTTGGGCTCACCTCAATCCTCTGGGATTGCAAAGCAATGTGCGGCAGGGACTAAGTCAATGTCGCTTTACATGGGAGGGGAATCATTCAGAGTGAATTGAGAATAGATCCTTAAAATAGAACAATAATGCTTTATCTGGTTCTCTGGCTATAGGGAAGCCCAAGAATTAATTACCAGCTTCATGGACAGCTATTCTCCCCATAATACCTGCTCAACTTTCAAATCATGTGAAGTTACTTCACACTGATTGGTCACTTAACAATGACCATCACAGTATCCCCAGAAACAATCATGGATTTTCCACACGAGGTGATGTGGCCTGAGGTGACTCACACATGGAAAGAACGAGCTGTAACTAAAACCAATTGTGCTGTGGCATCACCACCCGAGGTATCCAGCGGGTGAAATTAAGTCAGTTTCAGATCATCACACATTCACATAGTTATAAACTATGGTTGCCCAACTTGAAAATGTTTATTAAAATTATTATCAAAGCTAACTTGCAGGAGAAATGAATGAGTGAACAGTAAGCAAGCTCTACTGATACCTTTAGATTATTTTTCTCATTTTTGCTGGGTGGGAGGATTATACAGGGTCTTAAATGGCTGTTATTTGTGGATGCATGTGACTTATCTCTGTTCACCTGGCAACGCTGCCTGGAGAGAATTCCACGTCTAAAGTCATCCGCTTCCATGTTGTTTTCAATGCTATACAAGGTTCTGTTAGAAAAATAGTCGTAACATGCCCAGCCATTCCCAATGCTGAGCGCTCGGCTGGGTCCAGTGTCTATTGCTATAACTTGTTTGGACCTAACCCTCTGTATGCCAGGAAGTAAGAGGGGCAGGTGGGTCAAGGACTGGGGTTTTTGATAGTGGGAAAAAAATGTTTCTATATAAGTCTTGCATAAATTAACTTTTGGTAAATTAAAACCTAACCAGGAGCTGCCTATGAAAGAACCATGCGGTGAATGAGTTTATAGAGAAAATAATTTTTCTGTATTGCTAATAATCAACCAAACTCAACTCCAGTTTTTTTTTTCTACACAGAATTTTCTTTAAGAGGATTGGTCCTGCAGGCCAGAGCAGGGTGGGGTGAGACCCATGGGGAGCTGGCTGGGCCGGCCATCGGCTCATCTGCAAGCCCACGGGGAGCTGGCTGGGCCGGCCATCGGCTCATCTGTAAGGTGGCCTTCAAGGCGCTGGAGCCGGCTTTCCTCACAGACCACTCTTGCAGATCTAGGGACACACCTGAGCTTTAAAACATTTCATGGTCTCTGTGTGCTCAGGTGGGCAGGAAGGGGAAGGAAGGGAAGCTTCGGAATACCCCAAAACCTAGCAGCTTGCATTTAAAATGTGCCAAGAAGGGTGGTGGTCCAATCCCAGGCTGTGAACCTGACAGTCGGTCATTCTGTGTCCTACAGAACCAGAAACACAGGCTGTGAAGGTGGGCATCCGGGCCTCCCGGCAGCCCACATGTGGCCCAGCGGGGCAGGGGGATGTGTGGCACGCCAAGGTGTGAGGTGGCTTCCTTGCGCTCATTCTCTTTTGGGGCATGTGGCAGTTCAGATGCTCTGTGTCATGTGATATCGTGAGTGACCGACGCAGCAGCAGGTATGAGTACCCCATCCTCTGCTGGGATGGCCAGTGAGGAGGCTGGTGAGAATGCAACACCACAGCACATGCCTCGCTAGTTTTCTTTCCTCTGGAAAACAACTATGTTTCCCAAAATAGGCTAGTTATGTTAACCTGTTATTACAATATTATTATTATTATTATGTTTTGAGACAGAGTCCTGCTCTGTTCCTAGGCTAGAGTACAGTGGCGCGACCTTGGCTCACCACAACTTCCACCTCCTGGGTTCAAGCCATTCTCCTGTCTCAGCCTCCCGAGTAGCTGAGACTACAGGTATGTGCCACCATGCCTGGCTAATTTTTGTATTTGTAGTAGAGGCAGGGTTTCACTATGTGGACCTGGCTGGTCTCGAACTCCTGACCTCATGATCCACCCGCCTCGGCACGCAAAGTGCTGAGATTACAGGTGTGAGCCACCACGCCTGGCCTATTACAATATTTTTCTTAAATAAATTAATAAATTAAAAGGATTTCCACTTTAATTTTTACCATGGTAAATATTAAATTTAATCCACATCAACAAAAGCTCTTTGGGGTCCTTGAGAATGTTAAGGGTGTACAGGAGTCCTCTGGGGTTTAAGTTTCATTCACCGCATCCACTGTGCCCTGCACTCCTGTGTCTCCAACTGACAGATGGACATGCATTGCAGGCTTGGCCCAGGAAAGCTAAACATGACCAACAGAAGATGACAACACCCTGCATGGTGCCTGGACACACAGGAGCGGCCTTCAGGACAGGTGGCAACAAGAGCCAGGGAACCCTAAGTCTAGGAATGTGGCAAGGCCATGGTCAAGCACGGCCGCAAGCAGAGGCTCTGCTTGCAGCAGACACTCCTTCATGCCTGCAGACTACCTGGACACGGAGACCCAGAGCCTAGACGCCGGACTACAAGGCAGAAGGAACAGGGTGCGTACCCGGCACTTGAGTTCGTATTCCTTCAGGACCGCTGTGAACCGCTCCTCCTGGGCCAGGAGCTCTGCACTCTGTGGCTCCAGCTGAAATTCAGACATGCAGGAAGTGACGGGTGGGCCTTGGGCCAGGGGGACCCAGTCCTCCAGCCCCTGGGCTCCAAGAACCTGCCCAGCTCCCCCTATACCAGGTGCTGCATTTCCAGGTACAGCCGCCATCCCTTCTCCTCCCTACTCCCTGGTCTAGAAGGTCACAGGGCAGAAGGATTTTCCAGATTTATCTAAGGTGGCCGCACTCATCCCTGGAGCCCAGACCGTGGCCCTGAGCAGCCCCTCTCCCCGTCCTCCTCCCGAAGTGACAGGCAGGGGCCTGCCCTCCCTCCGCGCTCCCCACCACTGAGGCTGTCACTAGTGACCACTGGTACTTTGGGGGCAGAAGGCGCCCCATACTGTCATGCAGAGGAAGCAGAGGGAAGGCCTCGCACTGACTTTCTCTTCATTCTAGATTTTAGAATACCAAACTCTGTCATCTGCTGGTCTCTTCCCTGTCACCCCCACTCTGTGCCCAGCAGGTCCTCCCTCTGGAGGTGTGCTGTCAGCAAAGGGACTAGCCTTGTCCTTCAGGACAAACTCCAGGTCCTTCTGCAGCTTCAGGGACAGCCTCTCCGAATCTGAAAGCTTTTCCACCACTTCCACAATCTCCTTCTGCAGGCGACTGTTTTCCTAGGAGACACAGGCCAGTGGCTCATCAGGCTCCTGCGGGATGGAGGGGATGTGTGCAGGATGGAGGTGAGAGGCTTGCTCCCCATGGCACTGGGCATCAGGGAAGAAACCCCCTCGCAGGCGAGGTGCATCTTCATGTCTCTTGTCCCCTCCCTTACCCTGTGCTCAGAAGGGCCACGAGTCACATAAGAAAGGGCAGGGAATACAAAAGCATTGCAACAGTATTACAAAAAGGGCATCCTTCCAGAGCCATTCCTAAACGAGGGATCTGACATTGCATCAGGACAGCTCAGACGGCTGCCGGGGGAGGAGGCAGCATCTGCAGATGGTGGGGACCATGGTGAGAAGGGTGGAGAGCAAGGCTGTTAGGGGCTCAGGGACTGCCCAGCCCCTCCTCCCGAGAGGTGGGGCAGGTGTGGGGAGTTAGGAGAGGAGGATGGAGGCGGGAGCAGGGCAGGGACCAGCACAGCAAGGGCCAGCACCTCTTTCCCGCTGCAATGCCTCACTGGAGCCAATGTCGGGGGACAGGTGTGACACATTCACCAAAGCCCGACAAACCCTAACCCCAAAAGCTCCGGGCCACAAACCCAGCCTTGGGCAGGCTGGGCTTTAGGTTCTGGTCTTTTTGCTGTCCCTTTGGGTGTTCCTGGTTTCTGGGGGTGCAGCAGTGCTGGCTGTGGGTGCTGGCCCAGAGCAGAGAGTGGAAGTGGGGGGAGGGAGGGGCAATGTCCTGCTCACAAGCCAGGACCCCTTCTGCTCTGTGGCGAGCGGGACACCTCCTCACTGTGGCAGGTGCTGCCTCGGCTCATCATGAAACATAAGCTTGAGGCCACTGGCAGGTGTGGATCTAGATCCTCAACAAGGAGGACATGGGTGTGGGAGATGCTCAGGCTCCCTCCAACTTCCTGGGTGCCCTAGGGATGCCCCTACCTTCAGGGCTAGGGTCAGCTTCTCACGGAGGCCAGCCTCCTCAGCCTGTAGGCGCCCCATGTCCTGCTCCAGCATAGCCCTCTGCTTGTGGGCCTGCTCCCAGAACAGCTCTTGCTCCGCCTCTACCTCAGACCGCAGGAGGCTCAGCCTTTCCCGGTACCCCTGCTCCAGGTGCCTGTAATATGTCACACATCACACATCAGACATGTCACGTCAGGGCCACCCAGGCCCACGCCTCCCCCCTTCCCAGCCTCCTCCCTCTCAGAAATGCCCTGTCCTGAGCACATGCCAAGCCGCCCTGCCTTGGCTGAGCTGCCCATGCTGGGAGGCAAACCTAAGGGTGGGTGCTCCTCCCTCACAGGCTGGTACAGGTAACCCCAGACAAGAGGATGTGGTGGGTCACATGGAAAATACCAGCAGCTGCACCTTCACAGCGAGGAAAACAGCTCCCTGCGGTGAGTCCCAAGGTGGCCCCTCCACCTGGTGTGCATGGCAGGCAGCAGCCCTTTAATAAATACTTTTAATACCAAACGCACACGGGAGTTGCCCCTCTCTCCAGGAAGGAGGCAGCATGAAACCCATGGACAGTGAATTCCCAAAGTAATACAGGGAAGAGGTGGGAGGCATTTTTTCTCAGATGCCACATTCATCTTTTGCAATAACCATTTCCATCAGCAGGAAAAAAGTGTTCAGCGCTCAGTTTCATCTCTGAAACAGCAGCTTCACAGGAATTCTCAAACCATGTCTGCTCAGACTGAAGACCAGCGAGGCTCCGACTTTGCAGAAGCCTGGTGACACCCATAACCAAGTCCAAGGCACCTGGCTCCCAGAGCCCAGGCTTTGAATGTTGGATCAGAACTTTATAAAACAACACTCAGCCAGGCGTGATGCCTCCCACCCATAATCCCAGCACTTTGGGAGGCCGAGGTGGGTGGATCACCTGAGGTTGGAAGTTTTAGACCAACCTGACCAACATGGAGAAACCCTGTCTCTACTAAAAATACAAAATTAGCCAGGCATGGTGGCAGGTGCCTGTAATCCCAACTACTCAGGAGGCTGAGGCAGGAGAATTGCTTGAACCCAGGAGGCAGAGTTGAGGTGAGTTGAGATCGTGCCACTGCACTACAGCCTGGGCAACCAGAGTGAAACTGTGTCTCAAAAAAAAAGAAACAGAGTCCCACCTACTCCGAAGGCTGCAGAGGGAGATCTCTTGAGTCTGGGAGCTCAGCCAAGAATTCAAGACCAGCCTAGGCAACACAGGTGTTGCTGAAAATGTCAGACTCAAATTTGGATAACAGTAAGAAGAATTTCTTTGAGGAGGAAGTAGATGATGAGGAAAGTGTGATTTTGACATTGGTGCCAGTTAAAGATGACCCAAATTTGGAACAAATGGAACCAAGTTTTTCAACTTCTGATGTCAAACTGGAGAAGCCTAAGAAATACAATCAAGGTAATCTATTTCAAACACATGAACAATTTACAGCTCCACAAAAAGCTAGATGCAAAATACCGGCCCTTCCCTTTCCGACCATTTTGCCTCCTATTGATAAGGTGTGTCGGGACACTCTACGGAACTGGTGTCAAGAACTTGGTTTGAATACCAAGGGCAAGAAAATAGAACTTTATCTGGGGCTCCATGGGCATGCTTACCCTGAACAACAGCAAGATATGCCTGAAATGTTACAAGAGACCAGAGTACAGCAGTGTTCAAGGAAATGCAAGGCAGTGACCAAGACAGCAAGGCTTCAGAAAACTTTTGCAATGAATGAGAGAGCAGAAGAGACTAACACAGTTGAAGTGATAATTTCAGTGCAGGAAGCCATGTTGGCATCATGGGCAAGAATTGCTGCAAGAGCTGTTCAGCCTAAGGCTGTGAATTTGGGTTCCATTTGTGTTTCTGTTGAGACCTTTTGGATGCAAGCTTCTGGTGTCAGGTGGTGTGTGGTCCATGGCCAACTTCTCTCATCAGACACAAAGGGTTGGGTATGCCTGCAGTTTCCTGCAGGTCAGGCCTGGGTGCCTGCCACTCACAGGAGGATGATTTCTGTCTTCTTGTTACCTGCCTGCGTTTTCCCATCCCCAGGCTTAGAAGATAATATGTTATGCCCTGACTGTGCTAGGAGGAGTCAGATGATGATGAAAAGATTAATGACAATAGAGAAGTAGCAACGACCTGCTGAGTACAGTGTACTAGAGAAGGTGGGATGTACTTTCAGACCATGTACCCTGTTATGAAGGAATGGAGGAGGAGACAATTTGAATGAATCATCCTGATCTACAAAACAGTCATAGTGACTAGGACTCCCCAGTAAAGATGGCTGACTAGTGACACAGCCCCATCTAAAGAGACCCTTTCTGCACGCCTGAAAACCCGTTAAAATAAAGTCACTGCAATTGACAAAAAAAAAAAAAAGAAACAACACTCTAAAGAGAAGAGGATGAAGGAAGTACAGTAGTCTGACTAATTTAATACTCCACAAACCTTTTGGGGTTGTGTTAAAGCTACATATTTCCTATCAGCCTACTCTTTAAAAACTTTCGAAATATACAAAAATAGGGAAATGGTTAAACAAATTACGGCAGAGCCACACAAAGAGCCAAGTAATGAGATCCTCTGTGGCCATCATAAAAGCATACACAACATGGTATCATTTCCTAAGAATTATGTGGCTAGAAAAAAGAGATGTAAGACATATAGAAAATGTAAAGAGTGATACCCCCGGCAAAGTCAGATTTCTGGTTTTATTTTTCCTTTAAAAGAAGAGAATTAAATAATGGCAATAATAGTAAAAAACAAACCTTATAATTTGTAGTTGCTACATAATAAATTTTGCTGTGTTGTGTGCTGTTTAACATAAAACTTAACCCCCAGCTCTGCTTAAAAGTAACTAACTCCCTGTAAAACCTACCTTATTATTCTCCCCACATTCTCAGCAAAGTTCCCAGGTATCTCAAGACTCCTGTTTTTCTTGCTAACCAGCTGCAAGGTCACAGGGCAAGATAACACCAAAAGAATGTACAATGTGTTTCTCAAAGTGCTATTTTTCAAATGTAACGTACATCACCAGACATGTGACAGATTAATTAACTGTTCTTTGTCTGGCTTCTGTAAATCTATTAGATGCTATGTCATCCTGGATATATAAAAAGTACCCCATTTTCTCTCTCTGGGGCTCAGACTTGGGATGCTAATCTGCTAAGCCAGTGGCTTAGCCAGTGAAATCCTCCTGTTTCACCCATTGGTTTCTCTGGTCTCCTGGATATTCTGTAACATTTAAAAATTATATTTTCTAAAATGTGTGTAATAAACACTATCATTCATTATGTTTATAATAAGGAAAACCTAATACAATCATAGAAGCTACTTACAGAAACCTACTCGTAACTTCCATTGCTCATGGGACAAAACCCAAGCTCTCAGGGCCGCGTGGGTTGAGGCTGTGGCTTAGCACCTCTAATGCATCCCTCTACCAGGTTCAAGGACAGAGGTGCTGCCTTAGAGTTTCTAATCCTCTAACTCTGGGAAAGGCAATTCACAAAAGTCTTTCCAGATGGTTGGGAGAGAATCAAACCCTACATGTGTGGATGGAAGCAAATCAGTTCTTAGTTACTCAAATTGAGCATGAAAGTCAACTTACTTCCAGCTTTGAACACAAGTGTCTCACAAGGAGTGCCCTTGTCTAGGAGCCCTGGAAACCCCCAGGTCCTGAGAGGCAGCGCCAAGATCCCAGTGGCACCAACAGAGACATGAGGATCCCAACAGTCAGGATGAAAATGAGAGGCAGACGAACCAAGCTTACAACAGAGCCATCAGGAGAAGAGAGGGGGCGTCCAGGAAGAGGAAATGAGTTCATGGAGCTCCCAGAGGGTCTTCCTGACATAGTTTCAGCTCCTAAAAATTAGCAATCGTCTCCTCTGTGGAGACCCAAGCTGGCCTCATGTCGCCCCCAAAGGCAGTGAGCTATGAGAACATGTTAGGCAACAAAGCCAAGGCCATCTCTCCTGGGAGCCAGGGGGCATCTCCTGCTCCCTCCTCTAGGAATTCCCCAACCAGGTGGGAAGGATGATGCTCCAAGGCTGGCCCAGGATAGCTCAGCTGATGGAGACCACAGAGACCCTCCCTGCCCATGAGAGCAGGGGCACGGCTTCCTAATGAAATGCCTTCTGCGCTCAGGGCAGGGGATTTGGGCCCTGCAGCCTGGCCCAGCTCCCCCATGTAGAGGGCAAGGGCCCCAACCACTGCCTGCACCTGTCCCTGCACCTGGCTTCTTACCTTGGCAGACACCTCCTCACGTTTGGTAAAAGGAGACTTAACTTTTAGCTTCCCTGAAAATGACTACTGTCCTATAGGGGTGTCCCACCACCACAGCCACAGGAGCCAGCGGCACCAAGAGCATACATTTCACAGGGCCACAGGCTGCACAGGCCTTGTGCATGCACACAGCACCCCCACTGCACCCCATTGGCCCCAGGCACACAGCACCCCCACTGCACCCCATTGGCCCCAGGCACACAGCACCCCCACTGTACCCCACAGGTACCATGCATGCACACAGCACCCTCCACTGCACCTCTCTAGCCCCAGCATATTCACAGCACCCCCACTGCACCCCACAGGCCCCAAGCATGTTCAATGCATTCACATGGCACCACAAGGGCCCCACACACCCTCATAGCACCCACATAGCACCCCATGGGCCCCATGCATGCTCACAGCACCCCCACTACACCCCATAGGCCCCATGCATGCTCACAGCACCCCCACTACACCCCATAGGCCCCATGCACACACAGCACCCATCTTGTCCCATGCATGCTCACAGCACCCCCACTGCACCCCGTAGGCCTCATGCACACACACAGCACCCATCGTGTCCCATGCAGGCTCACAGCACCCCCACTGTACCCCATAGGCCCTATGCACACACACAGTACCCATCCTGTCCCATGCACACTCACAGCACCCCCACTGCACCCCATGCACACACACAGCACCCATTGTGTTCCATGCAGGCTCACAGCACCTCCCCTGCACCCCATAGGCCCTATGTGCACACACAGTACCCATCCTGTCCCATGCACGCTCACACACCGCCACTGCACCCCATGGGCCCCATGAACACACACAGCACCCATCGTGTCCCATGCATGCTCACAGCACCCCCCCCGGACCCCATGCACACACACTCCACCACCGCTGCACCCTATATATGCTCATATCACCCTCATTGCATCCCACGTGACCTCGCACCCCCACAGGCCCCATGCATTCTCACACATTCCCCACACCACACAGAGGTGCATGTGGATCCGGACCTGCTGTGTCCGGCCATCCCCAGCCAGCCCTGGAAGGAAAAGGGACTTGGGAGGTGCAGGTGGACAGAGGAAGGGGTGAGGCCCTGCCCTGTCCCAGCGCCCCCTGTGGACTGAACCATGTGGAGGTGGCGGCTGCAAGAGGGGCAGCAGGGATTCACTTCTGCCCAGCACAGATCCGTGGAAACCCCAAGGATGTGGATTATGGAGATGGGGGGCCACTGGTCTTAGACCTGACCCCGGACCGTGCCTGGCTCTGGGAGGCCTGAAGGAGAGTGGCCAGGCTCTGCCCTTGTGCTTCTCCCACCTGAGGCCCTTGCTCCCCAAAAAAGGTGGCCAGTGGCCTTCGGCTGTCCTAGAAACTGTGTAAGGCAGGAACGGGGAGGCCTGGGTGTCAGCTTCATACACCCACGCTCACTCCCGTGGGACCGGTTACTGAGCTGCTCCAGGACTCAGTTTCTCTGGCTGAACAATAGGGATAAATGGCCTATTTGGTCCCAGTGGCTGTTAAGGAAGGTGACCCCTGGTGCACAGAAGAGCTCCACACACCACAGCCATCTCCCCAGCCAAAATCGCTTCCCAAGAGGCCACGGACCCATCGGTAGCCCCTCAACCCCTGGTCCCCCAAGTGCATGACAAAGATGCCCAGGTCTTTTTTGGTGAAGGAAGAGTGGCTTCAGGCTTTAGCCCACGGTGCAGCTGGCACAATGCCAACAGGCAATGTGGCCAAGGGCTGGGCTCCCATCTGCGGGCCCACCCTGGGGACCATGCGGCACCCCAGGCAAGCCGCCCACATCCCTGGAGGGTGCAGTCCACAGAGGGGACACACCACGAAACTCCACTGCGCAAAGCTCTTCTCTGATCCACACTCAGCTGAGCCACCGCCACCAGGGCCATGGCAGCAAGTGCTGTCTGTGTTGTGCACTACAGAGGGTGGGCTGACCTGCAGACCAATAACCAAAGGCCGTGGGGACTACAGGGCCAGGACTGCAGCCTCAGGCAGGCCTCCCAAGCCACCAGCAGACCCACTGACAAGGAAGAATGGCAGGGAGGCCAGCCATGTCTTGCTGCCCCTGCCCAAGAGCTGTGACTTGGAGCCAGCCTGTCCTAAGCTACCCCTGGAGGACCCCCCAGGCATGTGCAAGCTTCAGTTGGACAGCAGCTGAGCCCTGGCAGAGATGTGCCCCACAGTGAGACGGAGAAGTCCCTCTCCCTGCCTGAGCCTGGGACACCCTCTTGGGCGTGATTTCCTCAGATGTTCTGTTCATGAACCAGTGTGGTGGTTGTGTCCTTAAAAACAAATCAGAAATCTAAGGCCAGGTGCAGTGGCTCACACCTGTAATCCCAGCACTTTGGGAGGCCAAGGCAGGCGGATCACTTGGGGTCAGGAGTTCAAGACCAGCCTGGTCAACATGGTGAAACTCCGTCTCTACTAAAAATATAAAAATTAGCCAGGCATGGTGGCGGACGCCTGTAATCCCAGCTACTCGGGAGGCTGAGGCAGGAGAATAGCTTGAAACTGGGAGGTGGAGGTTGCAGTGAGCCAAGACAGCACCATTGCATTACATCCAGGGCTTCAGACTCCATCTCAAAAAACAAAAACAAGCCAGAAATCCTTTTCTCTGGTCTGTCCAGCCACTGTTCCACACAACTGTCTCCACACTGGGGTCACTACAGCCGTGATACCTGGGTTTGGGTTCCTTCTCTGGGCTCCTTCTACCTGCTGGGCCAAAAGGAAGCCATAGCCAGCCCTCGCAACACAGCCACCTGACTCCTGCATCACAGGCACACAGCTGGGGGCAGAAGGGCTTGGCCTGCGTGAGAAAGACCCCAGCGAAGTGAGGGCAAGAGGCAGGACCTCCTTGGCCCTTAGGCACCCAGCCAGGGGCAGGCACTGCACCAATCCCAGAAAGAGCAGGACTCTACTTTCTCACGGTTGTGTCCCCTGGACTCCCCCTGGCTCAGGTAAAACAGGGGGGTGTCACTACTCAGCACACTCACAGCCCTGCCCCCCTGGCAGCCCTGTGTCCACCACCTGCCCTCAAAGGGCTTGTGGAGGCCAGATAAGAATCCACTACCTGGGCCCAGAACTCACTTGATTTTTTTCTCCGTGAGCTGTTCCAGGGCAGAGTGGCAGTCATCCATCTCTTTCACAAACTCCAGGTTCCTCTTCTCGGCCATCTCCAGGTCCTGCCTCGCCTTGTCGCGCTCCCCCACCAGCTGCTCCACCTGCCCCCTGTCATAGGAAGGAGACAGGGTCAAACGGGACCTGACCCACCATGCCAGGCAGCTCTGGACCCTGCATCTTCGTCAATGATAGAAACCGGCACACTAACTGTACAGCGGGCGCTGCTCCACCAGCTGGCTCCTAAGGCAGTTTCTACAATTGCTATGCCCATTTTACAGATGTGTACACTGAAAGGGGCCACATGACTTGGCAAGGAAGGTTTCTAACCCAGGACAACTGAGTCTGGAGCTCCACAGCATGCCACATCCCTTAAGCAGCCCCAGAGTGTGTAGGACTTGGTCTGTGAGCCCTCTCATCAACGGCTGGGCTTCGATCGCAAGTACCTAATCCAGTAACCAGCAGGTGGCGGGCAGGAGGCCAGCCACCTGTTAGCCCTGCACGGGTATCTCAGCACCCACATGAGCACATCTCGGCTCTGGCCACCCTGACCTGACTGAGGTTCTGTGTAAATCACTGGTGGCAGCTGCTATTCTGGTGACTATTTTCCCACAGAAGGGGCTTTTCTCCCTCCCTGTACCAAGGCCAAGGTAGGGACCTGGGGAAGCCTTTCTCTGGTTCTATCTGCAGAGCTGCCTGAGGCCAGAGGCTCCACTGTCAGCACCTGGACAGATGCAGTCTTCAGGCTCGAGATTTTGTTTTCTGCCAATCTTTTCTGCAGCTTCAGAACACTGACAAAACCACAAAAACAATCTTTTTGCAAATCTGCTTAGCAGACAGACTCAATGGTCCGCCAAACCAAACAGACCTGATTAAAGGGAATGGGTTCTCCGCCCAATGTCACGGGGCACTTTGTGACATTTGAAAAGCTCCTCTTCTTCTTCCTGCTGACGGCCTAGCCTGGAAGCCCCCTGGCGCGGGAGGCAGCTGCAGGGCCCCACCTGGTGCTGGCAAGTACCTGCACCAGCAGGATGAGAGGGGGCTCAGGTCAGTCCCTTAGAAACCTCGATAAAGAGGGTTCAGCAGGGACCCCCGACATATAGATCCCAAGCACCTCACCAAGGGGGAGGAAAGTCAGTGAGCCTTAAATTGTATGGATGCAGACACCCCAGGTGCTCAGGCCCCACCCAGTCCAGACACACAGATGAGTGGCCGCCACTTGCCTGGTCCATGATCTGGTTTGGCTCTGTTCTTGTCCCTCTGTGAGCACGGGACCAGAGAGCACGGGACAGGCAGTATGCAGAGCCCTGCCCCAGGACTGGCTATGTGGCATGGACGAGGGCTGACTGGTGTCTTGTGTGTCTCAGACCCCCCTCCAGGCCCGCCTGGCCAGCCACACTGCCACGCTCCCCAGTCCCCTGTGGCCTCTTACTGCTGGTAGCTCAGCTCCTGGCGGTAGCAGGCCAGGGCTGCCTGCTGGACGGCACTGTCCACTGTCATGAGCTCGTTGTCAAGGGCCCAGGTCAGCTCCAGAAGGTTCACCTTCTCATCCACGCTGAAGTCCAGGCTCTGGAAGTAGCAAGCCTGGTAAGCAGGAGAAGCTGAGGGACTTCTCCAAGGATACACTTTCCTGCTCCCTCCCTGGCCCAGGGCCTAGACCAGGACGGCTGTCCCAGGCAACATCTGTCCCTCTTGTGTGACAAGGTCTCTGTGTCTTGAGATTCCTCTTCCATCCCAGGCAACTCTGGGGGGCTGTCAATGCCCTGGTCCTCCTGCCTCTGCCTCAGGAGTGTGTAGGCCCAGGCTACACAGAGCTCCTCTCCCTGGACAAAGTGTCAGTCGCTGCAGGCACTTCATGGGGACTGCTGTGGAGGCTGGGGCACAAGGCCCTCCTCCCTCTGAACTCATCTGTTTTAAGAATGTGAGCCTTGGGAGCCCCCGCAATGAGGCCTGACCCACAGCTCATGCCACCAGGAAGAGCATGCAGAGATAGAAAGGGTCCCCACAGCAGTCCTCAGGCTTAGAGCCAAACAGCTTTCCAGAGCTGGGCATTTCTCCCCTCAGAACTGTGATGAATACACCTCATAAATTCAAAACAGCTGACATTTTACTGAAACAACAAAAACAGAACCACCCACATCCTAAGCCCCTCAGCTCAGAGGAGCGACAGCTAATGTTCTATCGCATTTATTTTTTCTGCCTGAGTATTCCTGGCTCCTGCTTCCCACCTGTGGCTACAAACGCCCTACTCAGGCCAGCAGCAGGCACCATGGCAGAATGGCTGAAGCAGGTGCCAGGATGTGCCTGGCCCAGAGTCTCCTGTAAAACGGAGACTAACCTTCCATGCTGCCTACTCCCCAGCAGCTCCTGAGGAGCAATGGCATCTTGGGAGAGGCTGGGGAGCCAGCTGGAAAGCTGTCCCTACACAAGCAAACGCTCCCTGCCATGCCACTAGACAGCACAGAGGGACAGAACCGCCACAGCAGCCTGAGGCTGGAAATGTTGACTGTGTTGCAAGGCAGATTTTGGCAACCATCTGTGATGGAGCGAGGGAGAAGCCGCCCAGGGTGTCTTCGCAGAGCAGCACCAGCAGCTCTAGCACAAATGGGAAAGCGAGTAAGTTCTGAAAGGGCAGAGGCAAGACGCACTCATCAGAGCCGGGGCACCTCCAGAGCCATGGAGTCGGGTGTTGGGCCTCTTGGAACCACGAGGTATATGCTCTCTGCCCTTCCTACGAGCGATTTTTGGTGATCCTGCCTCTGCCTCTGGCTTTCAGGACAACCGCAAGGCCAGCTGTGGAGGTCTGGCTTTGCCATCTGCGGGGACTCGGTAATGGCTGAGGTTAGGCCCATGAGGGACTTGGTCCGTGGAGTTGGGTGGATAGTTTCCAGGGCTGTCTGAGCTCCTTCCTGTATTGTCTGTGCTAATAGGAGATTTTCTGAAGGAATATAACAAGGCCTCTGTGAGTTACAGGGTGTAACTTCAGGAGTCCAGCCTCAGAGAAATGCTGGCACAGCAGCACGAGAACATCAATGCCCTATAAACGCTCAGATTTATCATAGGAAAAGTGAAGGGTCACACAAATTAGCAAGATACATGGTATAATACTAATTTTGCTAAAAAAATTTTTTTTACCCAGAATGTATATGAATCTCTCATGTGCCAGGGAAAAGCTCTGCAAGACACCCACTACAGGGAATAGGGGAAGCCAGGCAGGTAAGCTTGCTTTCTTATTTAATAGGTTTTTGTACAGTTGACATTCTTTTTAACAATGGAAAGTGAAATTTGGAAATGAAAATATAACTCTAGTTCACCACACCTCGTGAGGCTGTCTTCCCTCACCGCACCCCGTGAGGCTGTCTTCCCTCACCGCACCCCGTGAGGCTGTCTTCCCTCACCGCACCCCGTGAGGCTGTCTTCCCTCACCGCACCCCGTGAGGCTGTCTTCCCTCACCCACGCTGAGCCACTGCACACCTCTGCCCCTGCAGTTATTGTCAAATTGTCCCCAAGGCAGAGCTCCTTCCAAATCCCCAGGGCTAGCCCGAGTCCCTCTGGGAAGCCTAAGCCCATGAGGAGCTGTGGCCAATGCAAGGACCACGTCTTCGCTCCCAGGCAGCCCCAGAAGAACACGGAGGAAGGGATGCACCTCCTGACACCCGGCCCATGGCGGGAAGTGTCTGGGGTGAGTTGGTGCCATAGAGAACAGCTCAATGAGCCAGGCAGGGGCTCTGGGGAGAGTTTGCGCTCACTCTGAGCTCATCAGTAATTGCTGTGACAGTGTTGCCCAACAGACAGTGTCATCACAACCAAGGAGTGTCCTTCCATTCATCTAACCTCCTTGGCCCAACACTCAGGGGAAATGTCTAAGCCACTAAAGTCTACCTTCAAATGGATTTTCTTCACACTAGCTTTGGATTTTATTTCTTATCCTTTTAAATTAAAATGTTCTATATGTTAGTAGCAAAAATTGAAAAAGAAATGTCTCTACCTGGACTTCCCTGCATGGGATTCTCTGCACAGAGCACACACCCCTGCTGGGTCCCTGGCTTGGGGTGCTCCATCCATCATCCTCTGTAGCAGATGGTTCCCCAGGTCCCCTGCCCAGCTCAGGCATCACCCAGTTCCAAACCTGCAAGATCTCCCTGCCATTCTGAATCCCTTCCTGGGTCCACAAGGCCAGGACCTGCTCAGGAAAAGCGAAGCCGGAGCCATCATCAATGCTGGAGAAGAGGCGCAGGCTGGAGCACAGGGAGACGAGGGATGAGGTCGTGGTGGTGTGGCAGCCGGTCTCCTCTGGTACCTGCATGTCAGGAAGACTCCCATAGTGCCCAGCATCCAAAGCCTCGCACCTGTGCACTGTTGATGTGCTCTCTGCCCTCACCAGCCTGTGCTCAGGGGACCTCACAGGAACAGCTCATGAGATCATCCTCAGCTCCCAGAGGGTCAGAGGTGCAGCACCATCACATGACCTGTCCAAGGTCACATGACTCTACAGGTGACAAAGCTGCGATGTGCAACCAAGGCCCCTGACACCCAGGACTCTGAGGCCTTGCACCCACATGGCCCAACAGGCCAGCCCCGGTCATACCCATCATCACTTGGAGAAGGACGACAAAGTGGTTTTAACGTTCCACTCTTAAATTCACAGAGGTGGGCGCCTGGCCGCACAGAGGCAGGGGTCCACAGAGTCCATGCACCAGGTAAGTCTCAGCTGTGAAAAGCAGAAGTGCGCTGGTCCAGGCAAGGCGCACACACCCCCAGCCCCTCAGAATGCAGCATGAGTGACTCATGGCCAAGCAGACTTGGGGGTCAACAATGAAGGCAAGCCAGCTCAGGAGGCATTTCCCCGACCCACACTGAGCATGACCTGTGGGACCTCATGTTGGTCTTCTGGCCTTACACGGCCGCCCGACCCCTTTCCACAGTGCTGGCTCCTGAGTTTCTTCTTTGTTGTTCTCACTGATGTTGGCCTCACTGCAGCCTTGACCTCCTGGGTCCAAGCAATCCTCCTACTCAGCCTCCCAAGTAACTGGGACCACAGGCATGTGCCACCACACCACCATTTTTAAATCTTTTGTAGAGATGGGGTCTATGTTGCCTTACCTTTTCTCAAACTCCTGGGCTCAAGTGATCTGCCTGCCTTGGTCTCCCAGACTGCTGGGACTATAGGCATGAGCCACTGTGCCCAGTCCTCATTGATTTTTTCCCCCAGATTACTAAATTATTTAGGTTTTCTTTTTAACTTAATTTATTGGAGATGGAGTCTCACTCTGTTGTCCACACTGGAGTGCAGTGGCACGATCTTGGTTCACTGCACCCTCCACCTCCTAGGTTCTAGCGATTCTCTTGCCTTAGCCTCCTGAGTAGCTGGGATTACAGATGTGTGCCACCACACCCGGGTAATTTTTGTATTTTTACTAGAGAGAGGGTTTTGCCATGCTAGCCAAGCTGGTCTCAGACTCCTAACTTCAAATGATCCACCTGCCTTGGCCTCCCAAAGTGCTGGATTACAGGTGTGAGCCACCACAGCCAGCCCTCATTGACTTTAGAGTCGGAAACCTAGATTCTCAGGTGTACCTACCCTCGGTACAGAACAGTGCTACTGGTCCTACAACACCACTCATGAAATTCAGACCAATTGTAGCAGCAAAGCGGCATCCAACCCCCAAGCAGCCATGCCCCGGTCTCCTCAAACTGCAGAAACCTGGTATTTGTGCAAGAGATAGAGCACGGGTTAAGGAACACTTTCAGGACTAATGCTAGACAGATTCGATGGATCCTTCAGCGACTGATACAGTTTAGATCTGTGTTCTCACTTAAATCTCATATTAAAATGCAATCCCTGATGTTGGAGGTGGGGCCTGGTGGGAGGTGACTGGATATTGGGGGTGGATGTTTTGCCACTATCCCTCTTGGTACTGTCCTCATGATAGTGAGTTCTCATGAGACCCGGTTGTTTGGAAGTGTGTGGCACCTCACCCCTTGCTGTCTTGCTCCTGCTCTGGCCCTGTTACCTGTCTGCACCCCTTCACCTTCTGCCACAATTGTAAGCTTCCTGAGGCCTCCCCAGAAGCAGCTGAACAGACACTGGCCCCATGCTTCCTGCAGAAGGATAAGCTAATTAAACCTCTTTTCTTTATGAATTGCCCAGTCTCAAGTATTCCTTTAGCAATGTGAGAATGGACTAACAGAGAAACACTGCCCTCACCAGTCCACGATGGGGAGGATGGGAGGGAGTTTTCTTGCTGGGGCGTATCACACAACACGGCAGTGGAGCTGCCATCTTTCTCACCTGAGCACTGCCTTCTGTAGCCCCGGGAGGAGATCACCTGAGCAGCACGTTCCTCATCTGAGCACTGCCTCCTGTAACTCCAGGAGGTGGGCACCTGAGCAGCCATGTTCTTCACCTAAACATTGCCTTCTGTAACCTCAGGAGGTGGGCACCTGAGCAGCCATATTCCTTACCTGAGCACTGTCTCCTGTAACCCCAGGAGGTGGGCACCTGAGCAGCCATATTCCTTACCTGAGCACTGCCTCCTGTAACCCCAGGAGGTGGGCACCTGAGCAGCCATATTCCTTACCTGAGCACTGCCTCCTGTAACCCCAGGAGGTGGGCACCTGAGCAGCCATATTCCTTACCTGAGCGTTGCCTCCTGTAATCCCAGGAGGTGGGCACCTGAGCAGCCATGTTCCTCACCTAAACATTGTCTTCTGTAGTCCCAGAAGGTGGGCACCCTAACCACCCCCATCACACGTGAGCCTGAGGCTCAGAGAAGGTAACTCCCCTAGGGACACATGGCCAGGGAGCCTCAGGCTTGGAGAAGGTAACTCCCCTAGTGACACAGAGCCAGGAAAAAGCAACATTGGACCCACCCCAAATCTACGTGGTTCCAGAATCTATGTTGCGTAGCCTCTCACATGCATGTGTGTGTGCACGGCCCTGTCCAGTTCCTGGACAGCTCACTGTGTGGTGACACAGGCAGGGAGGTCGTCAGCAGTTTTAGTTACCAGAGAGTGACAGCAGTGATTGCTGGGTTCAGGATTTAACTGTTGCATTTTACCTGGTAATGAGACCAAGGCCTGCTTGGTTTAACCTGAGTGCAAGACTCCAGAAGTAGCGCGGGCTCATGGCTGAAGAGGCCAAGCTGGAACTCCTCAAGACTCACTCTGCCATCTCCATCTTGATCTAGTTTGTTAAACAGGTCTTCAAGTTCCTAAACAAAAGCCATCATACCTCAGGCCCAAACACAAGAGCTCCGACCAGCCGCCCTCACCGGGGCCTCCCTCCCCTCCACCTCCTTGTGGTTCCAAGTACCCGACAAGGGCCGTTTTGGTCTTCTTCAGACTTAAAAGCTGTGTAGACCACAAGGTCTGTGTTTTCCCAAGGTGCCCCCTCCCTATATCTTGTGAAACCCACAGTCCTTGTTGGTTTCCATCCCACTGTGAGTGGGCGTCACCTGAACTTCCCAGTTCTACAAATCCTTATTCAGTATCTGCCAGGGCTGGAGCCTGGGGGATGCTGAGCAAGGCCAGCCCCTGCAGAGTGAGGTCCAGCAAGGACACCGGGCTGAGAAGAACTCCAGCAAGGTGGGCCGGCCTCCCACCCAGGAGGAGGGAACACAGCCACTGGGGAGTGCGGGCAGGCTCATGGGCCTCCTGTCAGCTGCGCCGTGGAACCCGGCCACACAGAGAAGGGGGAAAGGCATCCAGGCAGAGGAAGGATGTGAGTGAAGGAACAAGAAGTACCTGGCACACCTGAGCATGGCAGGGAGTCGGTTAGGCTGGGGAACTCCATCAGAGATGGTCTTTCAAAGGTGTCTGGGAGGCCGGGCGCGGTGGCTCAAGCCTGTAATCCCAGCACTTTGGGAGGCCGAGGCGGGTGGATCACGAGGTCAAGAGATCGAGACCATCCTGGTCAATATGGTGAAACCCCGTCTCTACTAAAAATACAAAAAAATTAGCTGGGCATGGTGGCGCGTGCCTGTAATCCCAGCTACTCAGGAGGCTGAGGCAGGAGAATTGCCTGAACCCAGGAGGCGGAGGTTGCGGTGAGCCGAGATTGCGCCATTGCACTCCAGCCTGGGTAACAAGAGCGAAACTCCGTCTCAAAAAAAAAAAAAAAAAAAAAAAAATAGCGTCTGGAGTTTTTTGCTTTGACAGAAATGCCAGTTGCCACCAAAAAATTTTAGATTAGAAAGTGATGCACCTAAATGAGTGGCTGCAGGGTAGAGGGGTTTCCAGACCCAATACTAATGACCAGGGCAAGGAAAACATGGCTGGGTGGCCTGCTGTGCCCCTCACCTCTTTCTTGAGTCCCCGAAGCCCGACACTCTGGCAGACCACAGCCAGCTCCTGCTCGCTCAGGTGCCCGCTGCTGCCCACCCCCAGCTCTTCCCACATGCCGCGGATCTGGCCTTCTGGGGTGTCAAAGGAGGGGCTGCAGGACTTCTGGGGGCTCCCAAAGTCCTCGGAATCCCAGGTCTGCAGCTGCCCTGAAGTAAAGGAGAAGTCACAGTTAGATCCTGACACACACGCAATGGAGCACGAATCAGCCTTAGAAAGAAGGACATTCTGCCCTTTGCGACAGCATGGATGAATATGGAGAACATTACACTATGTAAAATTAGCAGACACAGAAAAACAAACACCACGAGCTCTCTCTCATGTGTGGGATCTAAGAAAAGGAGAACTCGCAGAAGCAGGGCGTAGAAGGGTGGTGACAGGGCTGCTGGGTGGTGGGTGAGATGCTGGTGAGGGGGTCACTTTCAGTTGCAAGATGAGTAAGTTCTGGAGCTGTAATGTACAGCATGGTGACTAACAGCTAGTAAGGTCAAATTGCTTCCTTGAAGTTTGCTGAGAGTCTATCTCAAGTGTCTCAGCACACACACATAACTAGGTGAGACGGACGTGCTAACTGGCTGGATTGTGGTCATTATTTCACAATGTACATGTCTCAGATCATCACACTGTACAACTTAAATACATACAATTTTTATTTGTCAATCACACCTCAATAAGGCTGGGAGAAAAACCAGCAACAGTTAAGTTTTGTGCTCTAGGCTGAAGCATTTGGGGGAAGCACAGCAACGCTGGTCAGTGACTCTGAAATCAGACGGACCAATGGACAGTGGGATGGGTGGACAGACACATGGGAGCTGCAAAGCACCAAACGTGGAATTAGGTGGTTGGCACATGGGTGTTCATGCTACAGTTCTTTGCATTTCACTCTGTTAACAAACTTTCAAAATAAATGTTGGGGGAAAATATCTGCCTCTAATGGGAAAATTCTTGCTGAAGACAACCTCCTAAGGTCAGCCATGCAAGCACTTAAAAGAGGCAGAGGGGTCTATTATTTGTGTTTAAAATAAAAAAAACCCAGTCTTTTAATAACTTAGTTTTTAGAAACTTTTCTAACTTACACAGAGCAAAGAGTCAAGTGAAGCCCAGAGCACCGGCTGCTCAGGCTCCACTAGGACAACACCCTATCACAATGGCTTCTTCTCTACCTGCTCTGCTTATGGCTAAAGTGTTTAGAAGTACAGATGCTCCTCAACTTATGATGGAGCTACAGCCCGACAACCCCATAGTAAGCTGAACACATTAGCTGACAGTGGGGCAAAATCCTCTAACACAAAGCCTATTTATACTAAAGTGTTCAATGTCTCATGTAATTTACTGGGCACTGTACTGAAAGTGAAGATCAGAATGGTCGCATGGGTGCTGAAGGATGGCTTTTACTGAATGCACATCGACCTCGCACCATCGCAAAGTTGAAAAATCGTTCAGCTGAAACATCATGAGTTGGGGCCCATCTGAGGTATCTGCAATCACAGACCTCATGTTACTTCTCCCCCTACATATTTAATTCATATCTCTAGAAAAAAATACATAGATTCTTACATCACCATAATGTCACTAGGACACCTAAGAAAATCAACAGGATTTTCCCAAGTGTCTCAAAAATATCTTGTTACAGTTGATGTGTTTGAACCAGCATCCAAACTCCTCAGGGTGTCCCTGGCTATTATTCCTCTCAAATCTTTCAGCCACAAGCACCTCTTCCAACTCCCCACAGCTCATGCCTTTTTAAAGAAATAAGACCCACTGTTTTGTGGAATGTTCCACATCTGGATCTATCTGCTTGCTTCCTTGTGGTCTGGTCTAATGGGATCCTCCATCCTTAACATTTCCTGAAAACCTGAGTTAGCATCAAAGCCTAATTTGGCTGCAGGCTCAACTCTTTTTTTTTTTTTTGCCATAAATACTTTGCAGCTGTCGCTGTGTCCTCCACGCATCTCACTCAGGAGGCACTGGTGTCTTTAGGACTCATCAGTGGGCTCAGGTGCTGGATGGCCACTTTTGCTAACCTTAGCCTTCAGCCGCTTGTCTTCCTGATGTGTCTGAAGGTGTGGAAACAGCTTGGGAATGCAGGCAGACACTGGGTGTCCAGGAGAAAGTGTCTATGGTGAGCTATATGTCCACCCAGACGTGTTCCTATGGTGAGCTATGTGTCCAGCTATGTTCCTCCAGGCCTTGCCCACACCGCCCAGCCCAGAGCAGAGAGATGGCTGCTTCCACCCAGTTCTGCTTCAGCGGTCTGGATCCTTCAGGTAGATGAGCCATGTGGGTACGAATTACTGATTACCCTGCTGGTAACGTGAAAGCCACCAACCCCCAAAGGAAGCCAGACTGTGTGCTCACAAATGACACTGTGAGTTGGGTTGAGGAAAACAAGAGGAAAGGGACAGGCAAGGAAAGGCCACCTCCAAGGTCCCTTCCAGGCTAAGATACCTGAAATCTCCTAGGAAAAATGTGAACGCAATCCTCATACTGGGGGTTATTTCTCAGGCTGGCAGAAGGGGTCGGGCAAGTCCCCTAAGCCTGACATGAGTGTGTGTGCGCTACTGTCTGTCGGCTCTGACCCCGTGCAAAGGTTTCCGTAAACTGCTGGGAGGAACCCCAACCTGGTCTCCAGGCAGAGAGCACTGAAAAGGTGAAGAACAGCCTCCTCCTGTGAGCCCTTCCCTTCACTGCCCTAGATCTAGACATCAAGTTCAAGGATGTAAAACACAGCGGCTTGGCTGACTTTTCTCAGCACACAGGAGTCTGCCTGCTTTGTCCAGCACCACAGCCAGAAGATCAGGCCCCCTGACATTTACTGAGACAAACGTTGAACAAAAAATGGCCCTGACATTCAAAGACTGTGGTCCACAGGGTGCTAACTGTTTACTTCGGCAGAAATCCCAGGGCAGTGCCCTCTATCCAAACCATGTTTCTGCAGTCAGCCCATGTGATCGCCTGTGTGGGGAGGTCTCATTATGGCATCCATTGACTCACAGGGAAAAGCCTGAAAAGACAGTGAAACTGCTCACAGGACCAAGGAACACAGACCAGTGCTATTCCCTGCCCTGCATGGTCAGTGGCCTGCCTGGCCTGCAGCCCAGCCCAGGACAAGGGAATGGTGGGGCACCCTGTCTGTGGTTGGGGTTCCCTGGTACCCCCACAGCACTGACTGGGAGCCACTGACCCTACCCATGCCTCATGAGTGCGATCCAGTGCAGCCTGCAGCCTGCAGCCATCCTGGAGCAGCCTCATGCCTCCTGCCTCCTGCAAGGGGACATCCAACGCTGCCACCCTGGTCCTTCTGCAACAGGGGGAGCCAGGGGTTGCTGGTCTGAAGAGGGCTCTCAGTATTCAGTCTGGCTCCAGCCTCTCCTCCCAGTTACCCGCAGCTCTGCACTCCAAAGCACTAACTCTTCTCATCACTGCCTTCTCAAAGGCCACAGCAGCCTCCTGCACTCTCCTATACCTGCACCTCACATGCCTGGCTGCTAAAGACCCTGCAGTTTGCTCCCTACACGTTCATATAATGCCTCCGGCCTTCCTGTTTCCTATAGCACATGACACCCCCACCCCCCGGTTCTAACTTCTCCCCTCTTTGCCTTCCCTCCTCCTTTCAGCCTGTCCATGTGAGGAAGTTTGGAAAAATGGCTTCAAACTTGACACTCTTCCCTTCAGTTCTGTGTCCCTTCTCCTTGAATCTGGTAGCCTTGTGACAGCTCTGATCAATAGAACGTGGTAGAAGGGATGCTCTGTGACTTTCAGGCTGACCTGAACTCAATGAGGAAATCTCAGCCCTGTTTTTGGGACCATGTGTCCTCAGGGCCCCAAGCCACTAGGTGAGACAGTTGACTACCCTGAGCCCCCATGCTATAAGGAAGCTCGGCCATGCCAAGGCCTGCTGCAACTCCTCTGAGGCTGTCCTCAGGCTGAGCTCCTCCGCCCAGACGCATAAGTGACGCTTCATGTGATTTCAGACCCAGGCTTCAAGTGTCCCAACAGAGGCCCCGTCTGTGATGGAGTCTATCCTAAGTCTCTCACCTTCTCCAATCCTTTTTTGAGCACCGCAGCCCTGCTCCTCAGAGAAGCTCTGCAGCAGCTATGTAAAAACTTGTGCTGTGTTCATAAGGGCCTGGTGTGAACCTCAGTTCTTGTTCCCAAGCTCAGCAAGACCTCGCCCCTGAGCCCCAAGCTGCTTTGAGGAAGGATGCTCAGATTATGCCTCGCCTGCTGCAAGGGTTAGCCAGGCCCCCAGCGTCACACCTGGTAGCTCCTCAGAGCCCGGCGTCTGGTTGCCATGCTGATCCTCTCATGCCCACCTCCCTGTGGCGCTCCTTTCCGCACTCTCGCAGGCATCATGTAAGTCAGAAGTTACTTTTACGGAGTCTTCTGTTTTGCATTGTTTGCATAGGTATTGGTCTTTTCTACCCAAAACATTCTAGGATTCATAATTAATGTTTCTGTTTGCTTTTAAATGTCAAGGAAGTATTACAGGCAAAGACAAGATAATTAAAATGAAAAAGAAGTCCTTCTCTCCCAAAGCCTTTATTCCTCTCCCTAGAAGAATCCCCTGGGAAGTTTACTGCCTAGCTTTCTGCCCCTATGATACATGTAATGCATGTCACTCCAGAAAGGTGGTGAGGGAGCTGAAGTCTTTATCATGCCCTTGTATGTAACTTCACAGGACCCAGATCTTGCAGAGGGCACCACAACGGCACAGAGTCAGCCCTCCTTGGGCGCTGCACAGCGCTATGAGGCTGCGTGCTGTGATTTGCTTGTGACCAGCTGCTCGCCAAGGCTCTGAGCTCCAGGACCAGATCTTATACTCCATCTGCAGAACAGATGAGACCCTGGTGGGTGCTGAGGCTGCCCCTGCACAGCAGGGGAGAGGCTGCATCCAGCCTACCATGCCAGGAAGGAGGTGCAAGGGCAGCTTAAGTGACGGGGCCAAGCAAGGTCCTCCTGCCTGAAACCACAGGGCCACACCTGCCAGCTGGCATCACATCGGTACTTGCAGATCATGAAGTGTGATTAACCACCTGCTCCCTCGGCCACAGGCCTCTGCCCTGGGGTCTTACCTTGCGAGGATGAAGATCGAGTGACAGCCTCACTGCTATGATGATGACATTCTGATCACTTCTGGAGAAGGAGGAATCCAGTGGGACACCACCCACCCCGCATATTGCCCAAGAAATTACATTTGTTGCTGTGCAATGCCCAGTGGCCTGGCTCTTCAGCTTTCAAAGCTCTGGGCAAAGGCAGAGAGCACCAAACGCGAGCCTGCGGCTTTACCTTGTGCTTCAAATAATTCATTCTGAGCTTCTTTAGCGCTCTCGGCCTCTTCATCTGACTTGAGACTCTGTAGAAAGATGCAGAGAGAAGGCTGTGAGTTCTAGCGGGTGCTGCTGGGGACAGAGCAGTAGGAAAAAACAGAGCAGGATATTTGGCGAAGTGGGGGACGGCTGAGGATGGAATCAACCCATCAGAGTTTTGAAAAGCCCACCCCTGCCTTGGGGCTGCCCTGCATGCCAGCTGGAAGCCCTAGGTGAGCCCTGTGTGGGGTGGGCCCTGCCAAGCAGCAGTGAGGGGCTGGGCTGGAGAGAGAGGGGACACACCTTAGTTCCACACACTTGGGGCGTCTCAACATAAACCCAGTTATCAGCAGTTGACACTGAAAATACAATCAAACACTTGTGTCCTAGCAGCAGAGAAGCTCGCCCCCTCCACATGGTGATAGCTTCAGAGGCAGCACTTGAGAGAAGACCGCCCTGCAGCCAATCGTTCAGTCTCAGAACACACTCTCCATACAAGACTTGAAACACGACCGCCTCTCTGCACCCCTCCCTCGTCATCCACATCAGTTTAGCAAACAGTTGCAAGGTGAGAGCAGGTTTCTGTGTCCCTCCAAGGGCTCTGGGATAGCACAGCACCTAGTAATCACCTCACACCCCAGCAGCCTTTGCAAACCTGCACCCAAGACAGGAGTGGGGGCCATCAAGAAACGCATGACTTAGTAAAAACCTCGTGCTGCAGTGACTACATCAGCCAACTGGAATCAAAAGTCTGCTTTTGTCCAGGTGTTGTGTATCCCCACAACTGACTGTGGAATGGACGCCGGTGACCAAGATTCCATATGCTTCAAAGCTGGCACTGGCTCTGATGGGGGAGAATCTGCAAGCTGGTGATAAATATTCAACCCCATTTTCTAATGCATTCAACTCCACTGACAACCCTAAAGGCAGCTTTCCCCATGTTCAGGTTTTGTGAATCAAAGATGATTTAAGAAGCAGAATGGCACCAGCAACGATGCACCACAAGGAGTAGATTCATTATCACTCCATCCCTGAGGTCCAAATTTTTTAGAAAAAGAACAAAAAAGGAGTTGGGTGCGGTGGCTCACGCCTATAATTCTATCACTTTGGGAGGATGAGGCAGACAGATCATAAGGTCAGGAGATTGAGACCAGCCTGCCCAACAGAGAGAGATTCTGTCTCAAAACAACAATAACAAAAAAGAACAAAAAAGGAATGTTCTGGATTTATAGGCATTGCCTAGGTGTCACATGCCCCTGAGAAAAGAGACTCTAAGATTTAAATATATTTTGGTTGTTTTTCCTCTTTGCCTCCACAAATGTTGAAAACAAATGGTAAACAAGTTCACCTGGAGCCCCTGAGCTGTCTAAGAAAGATGTGCTCCTGATCAAGCCCCACCTGGCAGAAGCTGACAGCACAGAGCACAGGAACCAGGAACCTTCTGGAATCCTTGAAAATGGTTTGACCTAGTTCATGATTAACTCACAAGCTGTGGACCTGCCCCATGGACATACTTCTTAACATGAAGCCCCACGAGACTCTGGCAGCCATCTCCTGGGTAACCCTTGTATCCTAGGCACTTGCAGCAAATGACTCAGGGAGCCTGGGGGACAGAGTGGCAACTCCCAAGGCCCCAGGATGCACTGGCTCATACAGGTCAGTTCTAAGTGTGGGGCCTCAATATATCTAAGTGTTTAAGATGGGTGGGACTGCGGTCTGACACACCCACACTCCTGACCTCAAGGCTGTTTCAAAAAGGCATCTTCCCTTTTCTACTCTTAGCGCATTGACCCTTCACTCCTATGAAGCCATAAACATTGCTAGTGGTGATATCAGGGGAAAAGAGAAACAAAGGATTTATGCACAAATTCTCTATTGCACCAACCCAGAAGGAGAGAATCCTGTTGTCCTAAAGACAACCAGACCCAATTTAAATGAAATGGCATTCCCCAAAGTGACCAAGCTTCTGGTGATTCAGGGTGCCTGGGAGTGCCGCTGCCCTCCCCATATCTCATGATCATGTGCTATGAACAAGGATGAAGGGAAGCATTTGTTCTTCCCAACACTTGGCAGCTGGGGTGGGAGAGGGGCCTGACCCACCTCCACACTTTCCAGAGACGCTGAGCGCTGGAGCGGACTTTTCAGGCTGGCCTGGGTTTGCTGCTCGGGCATGTGTCTGGCTTCTGTGGCAGCGTCACACAGCTCGGGCCGGCTTCGACGGCCGTACCACTTAGAGCCACTCACATACTTCGGTGGGATGGCACAGGAGGCAGCTGGATAAAAACAGGAAATTTGGTGGGGGTCCTTTATAGCAGTTCCTGGCCCATGCAGGCCAGCAGGTGCCCTCTGAAAAGGTGCACACTTGGCACCGAGCGTGCCTCCCAGACAGGCACTGCTCTGCACACAGAAGCATCTGGAAAGACACAAGCAACGGTGAACAATGACAATCCTATGACCTTGAAAGGGAGATTGAGAAAGCGAGTGTGGGGACAGGAGGACTTTCCCCTAAACTCTACAGGCTATTTTAACTTTTTCAAGCATATTTTGCTTTTATGTAATTAAAGACTAACAAAAAACCTAGCTATCCATGCGAAGGAACAATAAAACCTCCAATAATCCAAGAACGTATAGCTGATGATCACCTGACTCTCAGTGTCCTGAGTGAACATGCTAAATGTAAGGTGACATTCCAGGCAGCTGACAACAATGCAAGGTGACCAGATAATCTCTCATCCCACTGGCACAGTCATCACGGGCCTTATTAACAATCACTCCAAGACGGTGGGCACAATCAAGGAGTGGCCCAGCACACTATCACAAGAAGGGTCAGAGCTTATGGGAAGTTAATATGGTTTGTGTCCCCACCCAAATCTCATGTCAAATTGTGATCTTCAATGTTGGAGGAGGGGCCTGGTGGGAGGTGATGGGATCATGGGGGTGGATTTCTCAATTGTTGTTCTCAAGACAGTGAGTTCTCATGAGATCCGGTTGTTTAAAAGCGTGTAGCACCTCCTCCTGCTCTCTTCCTCCTTCTCCAGTCATGTAAGACATGCCTGCTGGCCCTTCGTCTTCTGCCATGATTGTGAGTTTCGTGAGGCATCCCCCATCATGCCTCCTGTACAGCCTGAGGAACTGTGAGTCAATTAAACCTCTTTTTAAAAAATAAATTACCCAGTCTCAGGTTGTTCCTTATAGCACTGCAAGAACAGACTAATATAGAAAATTGGCACCAGGAATGGAGTACTGCTATAAAGACACATGAAAATGTGGAAGCAGCTTTGGAGTTGGATAACTAACTGGCAGAGGTTGGAACAGTTTGGAGGGCTCTGAAGAAGACAGATGTGGGAAAATTTGTAACCTTCTAGAGACTTGTTAAATTGGTGTGACCAAATGCTAATGGTGATATGGACAATGAACTCCAGACTGTGGTGGTTTCAGATGAAGATGAGGAACATACTGGGAACTGCAAAGAGGTCACTCTTGCTATGCTTTAGCAAAAAGACTGGTGGCATTTTGCCCCTGCCCTAGAGATACGTGAAATTATGAACTTGAGAGAAATGATTTAGAGTATCTAGTGGAAGAAATTTCTCAGCAGCAAGGCATTCAAGATATGTCCTGGCTGCTTCTAACATATGCTTCTATTCATGAGCAAAGAGATGATGTGAAACTGAAACTTGTATTTAAAAGGGAAGCAAAGTGTGAAAGTTTGGAAAATTTACAGCCTGACCATGTGGTAGAAAACAAAAATCCATTTTCAGGGGAGGAAGGAACTCAAGGCTGCTGAAGAAATTTGTAAAAGTAAGGAGGAGCCAAACATTAATATCTAAGACAACTGATGGGAGGGGCTTCATGACAGCCCCTCCCATCACAAGCTCTGAGGCTGAGGAGGGAAGAACTGTCTCATGGGCTGGGCATGAGGCTCCACCTTAGGACACTGTTCCCTACATCCCAAGTGTTACAGCTCCAGCCATGGCTAAAAGGGGCCAAAAACATATTAGGCTGCTATTCCAGGGGGTGTAAGCCACAAGGTTTGGTTGTTTCCATGTGGCATTAAGCCTGCAGATAGATGGAGGGCAAAAGTTGAGGCTTGGGAGCCACCACCTAGATTTCAGAGGATGTATGAAAACACCTGATGTCCAGGCAGAAGTCTGTTGCATGGGTGGAGCCCTCATGGAGAACCTCTATCAGGGCAGTGCAGATGGAAAATGTGGTGTTGGAACCCACAAAGAGTCCCCACTGGGCACTGCCTAGTGGAGCTGTGAGAAGAGGGTCACCATCCTCCAGACTCTAGAATGGTAGATCCACTGACAGCTTACACTGTGCACCTGGAAAAGCCATAGGCACTCAACACCACCCCATGAAAGCAACCACAGGGCATGTACCCTGCAGAGACACAGGTTGGGAACCCACCCCTTGCATCAGTGTGGCCTGGATGTGAGACATAGTGTCAAAGGAGATTATTTTAGACCTTTAAGATGTAATGACTGCCCTGCTGGGTTTTGGACTTGCATGAGGCCTGTAGACCCTTTGTTTTGGCCAATTTCTCCCTTTTGGAAGAGGAGTATTTAACCAATGCCTGTATCCCCATTGTATCTTGGAAGTATCTATCTCATTTTTTATTTTACAGGCTCATAGGCAGAAGGAACTTGCCTTGTCTCAGATGAGACTTTGGACTTGGACTTTTGAGTTAATGCTAATATGAGTTAAGGCTGGGAGACTTTTGAGAAGGCATGATTATATTTTGAAATGTGATAAGGACATGCATGAGATTTGGGAGGGGCCAGGGTGGAATGATATGGTTTGGCTGTGTGTCCCCACCCAAATCTCATGTTTAATTGTAATTCCCTGCCTCAACTCTTTAAATGTTGGAGGAAGGGCCTGGTGGCCAGTGATTTGATCATGAGGTAGACGTGAGTTCTCATGAGAGCTGGTTGTTTGAAGGTGTGTAGCACCTCTCTCTTCACTCTATTCCTCCTGCTCTGCTAGATGAAGACATGCCTGCTTCCCCTTGCCTTCCACCATGATTGTTCCTGAGGCCTCTCCAGCCATTCTTTCTGTACAGCCTGTATAACTGTGAGTCAATTAAACCTCTTTTTTTCATAAATTACCCAGTCTCAGGTAGTTCCTTATAGCAACTGAGAATGAACTAATACCAAAGTATTAATAGGGAATAGGACCATTTAGTTGAGGAAAGCTTTTAATTTCTAATTGGAAAAGAAAGAAAAAGCAAAACAGAATTGAAACAGGTCAAAAAAAGCACAAGTTCTAAAAAACAGCTTGGTGTTTCTTTGGAAGTACTGTCACCATGACCCACAGGTTCAGACAGTTTTAAGCTTAGATGCAGCCACCTTCCGTGTTCCAGCACAGATGGGAAAACACAAGATCAGGGGACCAGGCTGTCACCTCTTCAAGGTGCTTTGATATCTTTGATCATCCTCCAAGGTCCTGTGCCTTAGGGATAGTATGGAATAGGGAGCCCTTTGACATCTTAAAGAAGGAAAGAGTGAATTGGAGCAACTCACACTTCACCCAGGTCATGCACATGGCCGGTGGCAGGGACTATGAACCCAGGGCTTCTCTTCCTACCCCAAGGCTCCTTACCAGCACCTCTGCAACCAGCAAGAGGAAGTGGGAAGGGGCAACCACCAGCACACAGCAGAAAGAGCAGGGTCCAGCAACAATGCCCATACAAGGGCCTTGGTCTTCAAGCTGGAAAACCAGGACTCAAATCCTGGTCACCGCTTATTAACTGTGGAATGGTGAATGAATCTTCACCTGGGGCCTCAGTTTCCTCATCCGAATAACAGGTATTTTAAGTAATGCCATAGGATTTCTATGAGGGTTAAATGGACTCTCTGTAAATGTACACAAAGTTCAATGCCATGTGCTCACTCAGAAGACCATTATGTGAGCCTGGTCCCTTGTGCCTTACCATCCTCTGCCCCCAGCTCCATGACTTATCTACTACACCCCTCCTGACCAGGACACCCTGCTGTGAGACATGAGGGAGTGCTCTCTCCGTGACACGCTAATCAATACCACAAACATGACACTCCTCCAAGAGGGAAAGGGCCACCCCCATTTCATACCCTCCTGACATGGGGCCATCTGCAACCAAGAAGCAGGCTGCCACCACCTCACCACTCCACGCCTGGGTAGCCCTCCCTCCAACCTTGCCCACCTGTTACCATCCCAGCACTTGAGGCTGGAACCAAGGCCAGGTGGCTTTCCCCAAGGACGACACTTCCATTTAGGGACACAGCCTGTGTCCCAGCAGCCCTGTCCCTATAACAGGATTCTGATCAGTCACATTAGCACAATGCAGTGTCATCATTCATGGCAGGCACAGCGTTTGTTATTTTATGACACAAATAAACAAAGGAAGAAAAAACACCAAGTGTTTTCTTCAAGTCCATATAGTTTAGAGGTGACAGAAAGTAAGGTAGAGTTTTCAGAATTGCTGGATTCTTTACACTCTAAAGTAAACAAACTACGAAAAGAAACTACAGTCAATAGGAGGAAATCCTTTTACCTGATTCCAAAGAACTACTGTCTTCATCTGAGGGGCGAACACCAGCATTTGATGACAACACAGACACAAAACCTTCCTTAAATTCCTCAAAGTTAACCTGGGTGAATTGAAGGTGAGAGAGGACAATGTCACTTTCAACAGATCACACATGAGAGCGAATCTTTTGAATTTTCTTTTCTTTTTCTTTTCTTTTTTTTTTTGAAAGAAAGAAAGAAAGAGAAAGGGGGAGAGAGAACAGGAGTCTTGCTCTACTGCCCCGGCTGGAATGCAATCTAAAAATAGGTATTAAAAACCTCTTTTATGGCAATAATTGTGCTTAACAGTGGAGACAGGAAAGGAATAAGGGAAGAAAATAACAAACAGTCAACCAATCTTTCATTTAAGTCTGTGAAATGCTATGAAAATGTGAAGAGTGGTTTACTCCCAATTATGTGGTCACTTTCAAAATAGGTGTTATATGATACTGAGAAAAATGTATGTTCTGTGGACCTGAGGTGAAGAATTCTATAAATATTCACTGAGTTTACTTGTTCCAGGTCTGAGTTCAAATCATAGATGTCCCTGTTGATTTTCTATCTCATTGATCCATTGAATATTAACAATGTGGTGTCAAAGTCTCCCACTATTATTGTGCGGGAGTCCAAGTCTCTTTACAAGTCATTAAGAACTTGTCTTATGTATCTGGGTGTTCCTATATCGGGTGTATATATATATTTATGATCATTGACTCCTGTTGCATTGATCCTTTTACCATTATGTAATGTCCTTCTTTGTTTCTTTTAGTCTTTGTTACTATTAAAGTCTATTTTGTCAGAGACGAAAGTTACAACTCCTGTTTTCTTTCTTTTGCTCTCCATTTGATTGCGAAGTCTTCCACCAACCTTCTGTTTTGAGTCTTTGTGTGTCCTTGCTTACAAGATGGATCTGGATACAGCGAACTGATGGGTTTTGACTTTTTTTTTTTTTTTTTTCCCTTTTAGTTGCATTTATTTTAAGGCTGAATTTACTCCTGCGCCATAAGTTTTTGTTTCTTCAGCTTCTTCTGGGATATCTTCTTCTTCTGGGCAACCTCCTCTTCTGGTTTAGGAACAATCTGTTCCTTTTCAGTAAGGATCATCTAAACGTGGCAGGGAGAACTCATGTATGGGTTAATTCGACCGTGAGCTCTGTAGGTCCGGTGGCGCATCTTGGGTGCTTTGTTCACTTGGATATGCTCAATGACCACAGAATCTACATCTAAACCCTTAAGTTCAGCATTACTCTCTGCATTTTTAAGCATGTGCAGCAAAAATTCAGCACTCTTTTTGGGCCACTGACCTTGTGTCCAGCCCCACTGCTTGGCCTGGGCACACCTGCCAACTCCACCATTGTAACGTCGGAATGGTACGCACTGTTTCTGTAAAGTGACATCTTTCAGATACTTTGTAGCTTTTCGTAGAGGCATACCCTTGATGGCCTAGGCAGTTTCACATGTGTTCTTAAAGTGAACACGAAGATTGGAACCTCTTGATTTGCATGATTTTGTGGGGTTCTCCAGATCAAGTGAATAGCGAACCATTTTTACAGATTACCTTAGGCCACTTAGGGAAAGAGGAGGCAGGTTTTGACTTTTTATTCAATTTGCCTGTCTGTGTCTTTGATTGGGGCATTTAATCCATTTCAATTTAGGATTAATATTGATAGTTGTGAGTTTAATACTGTCATTTAATGCTAGCTGGCTATTTTGCCCATTAGTTGATATAGATTCTTCATTATGGAGATACTGTTTACCTTTTGGTAAGTTTTTGGGATGACTGATACTGGTTGTTCCTTTCTGTGTATAGTGCTTCTTTCAGAAGCTCTTGTAAAGCAGGCCTGGTGGTGATGAAATCTCAGAGTGCTTGCTTGTTCTTGAAAATTTTTATTTTTCCTTCATTTGTGAAGCTTAATTTGGCTGGATATGAGATTCTGGGTTGAAAATTCTTTTCTTTGAGGATATTGAATATTGACCCCCCACTCTCTTCTAGTTTGTAGGGTTTCAGCTGAGAGATCTGCTGTGAGTCTGATAGGCTTCCCTTTATGGGTAACCTGACCTTTCTCTCTAGCTGCCCTTAGAATTTTCTCCTTTACTTCAACCCTGGTGAATCTAACGATTATGTGTCTTGGGGTTACTCTACTTGAGGAATATCTTTGTGGTGTTCTCTGTATTACCTGAAGTTGAGTATTTTCCTCCCTTACTAGGTTAGGAAAGTTTTCGGGAATAATATCCTGAAGAATATTTTCCAGCTTGGATTCATTCTCTTCATGACATTCAGGTATACCTAACAAAAGTAAATTAGGTCTTTTCACATAGTCCCATATTTCTTGGAGACTTTGCTCATTCCTTTTTGCTCTTTCTTCTCTAATCTTGTTTTCTTGTTTCATTTCATTAAGTTGGTCTTCGACCTCTCATATCCTTTCTTCCGCTTGATCAATTCGACTGTTAAAACCTGTGCATACTTTGCGGAGTTCTCGTATTGTATTCTTCAGTTCCATTAATTCACTCATATTCCTCTCTAGATCATCTATTCTCGTTAGGATTTCATCAAACCTTTTTTCAAGGTTCTTAGTTTCTTTACATTGGGCTAGAACATGTTCTTTTAACTCACAGAAGTTTCTTATTATTCACCTTCTGAAGCCTGCTTCTGTTAATGGAACACACTCGTTCTCTATCAGGCCTTGTTCCCTTGTTGATGAGGAACTGTGATCCCCTGCAGAGGGAGAGGCATTCTGATTTTGGGCGTTCTCAGCCTTTTTACACTGGTTTCTTCCCATCATTGTAAATTTATCCACCTGTCATCTTTGTAATTACCGACGTTCAAATTAGGTCTCTGAGTGGACATCCAACTTGTTGATTCCCAGCACCGGAATCTGAGCAACCCACTGCACTGGCCAAAACAGCGGATTCGTGGTGCTTTTCTGCCCGGGAATCTCCGGTCTGGCTTCCTTCTTGAGTCCCTTTTTTCAATCAGCTGAATAGGCAACTCTGCCTTCCTGGAGCTCCAAACGTCGACCAAAAGGTGACCCAGTCCCGTTTACTTTGCACCAAGAACCGCCACGCCGGGGCTCCGGCAAAACCGTCGCACCGGCCACAAGAGTCGCGCTGGCAACCTGTGGGGCTCCTCCGCTGGGAATCTCCTGGTCCGTGAGCAACAAAAACTCATCTGAAAGTGTGGCGTCTTCTCGTTCTCTGCGCTTTCACTGGGAGCTACAATCCTGAGCTGCTAGTGATCTGCCATTTTGAATCTCTCCCTGGATTTTCTTTCAGATAGAAATGCATTATTATTGCCTTTTAAAATGAGAACATTCATGTTTTCAAATATTTACACTTAAGATTTTTAAGCCGGAGGCCGGGCGCGGTGGCTCAAGCCTGTAATCCCAGCACTTTGGGAGGCCGAGGCGGGTGGATCACGAGGTCAAGAGATCGAGACCATCCTGGTCAATATGGTGAAACCCCGTCTCTACTAAAAATACAAAAAAAATTAGCTGGGCATGGTGGTGCGTGCCTGTAATCCCAGCGACTCAGGAGGCTGAGGCAGGAGAATTGCCTGAACCCAGGAAGCGGAGGTTGCGGTAGGCCGAGATCGCGCCATTGCACTCCAGCCTGGGTAACAAGAGTGAAACTCCATCTCAAAAAAAAAAAAAAAAAAAAAAAGATTTTTAAAAATAGAAGAGCATGATAAGCAAAGTAAAAGTGGATGATAATCTCACCTCCAAATAAACACTAAACAATTTTGTAAATCAAACAACATAATTAGAAAACAAAGCACAGGAAAGAGGGATCTGATGGCCATGAAATATTATACATAAGGTGAACACCCACGGCGACCCCAACGCTGCCAGCACTGCAGAAGCTCCCTCCACCACAAACCCTTCCCCACACATCTCCTGACTTTTATGGTGACATCTTCCTCACTTTTCTAGACCTCATTTGCATGCATGCCTAAAGTTTAGTTTCCTTTGGCTTCTCTGTGTCCTCAGAAGTTTTGCTATAATGGCTGCCTGAGGAGGGGATTGCTGGACCATAGAACATGCACATTTATATCCCTTGGTGAACTGAACCTTTTATTATTATAAAATGCTCACACTCTTTTTTTTTTTTTTGAGACAGAGTTTCGCTCTTGTTGCCCAGGCTGGAGTGTAAATGGCACGATCTCAGCTCACTGCAACCTCCGCCTCCCAGGTTCAAGCGATTCTCCTGCCTTGGCCTCATGAGTAGCTGGGATTACAGGCATGCACCACCAGGCTTAGCTAATTTTGTATATTTAGCAGAGACAGGGTTTCTCCATGTTGGTCAGGCTGGTCTTGAACTCTTGACCTCAGGTGATCCGCCCGCCTCGGCCTCCCAAAGTGCTAGGATTACAGGTGTGAGTCACCACGCCTGGCAAAAATGCTCACACTCTTTAATTCAGTAAAGCTTTTCATCTTAAAGTCCAGTTTCTCTTATATCAAGAAACGACCCCAGCTTTCTTTTGGTCAGTATTTACATGATATTATATTTTTATTAAACTTTTAATTCCAATTGTTTATATCCTTATGTTTTAGATGTGTTTCTTATAAACAGTAATAGCTGGATTTTTTCCAATCTGACAACTTTTATCTTTGACTTAACTACGTAGTCTAATTACATTAATGTGATTACTGATTACAGGATAAAAATTGACCATTTTTGACTTGCTTGTTTTTTCTCTCCCCCGCCCCCCACCACCTTTGGATTCACTATTTTAGGATTTCACTTTTCTCTTATTAATTCAGACGTCATGGCTGGGCACAGTGGCTCATGCCTGTAATCCCAGCACTTTGGAAAGCCAAAGCAGGTGGATCACTTGAGGTCAGGAGTTCAAGACCAGCCTGGCAAATATGGTGAAACCCCATCACTACTAAAAATACAAAAATTAGCTGGGCACACTGGTGCATGCCTGTAATCTCAGCTACTTGGGAGGCTGAAGCAGAAGAATCACCTGAACCCAGGAGGCAGAGGTTGCAGTGAGCTGAGATAGCACCATTGCACTCCAGCCTGGGGTAAAAGGGCAAGACTCTGTCTCAAAAAAAAAAAGAAGTTATACAGTTTTTTTCCAT